GTGCGGTAGAGGAAGAGGGAGCCTTTAGCCTTATCTATTAGCTCGCTAGCTATAAGGTCGAACTAGAAGCCGGCTGCTTAGAGCTAGTTTGTACTAGTTAGTCTCGTAGTCCTAAGCGCTATTATCTAACCTTTTACCTCTTACCTTGTCGCTACGAACGTCGATCTAGCGCTATAGCTCTAGGCTAGCTAGGCTAGCGTCGACAGATTTAGGCATATAGGGAGCTATTTAGTAGTAATTCTACTTTATACTAGGAGATAGGAAGGAGGTTAAAGGGTATAGTAAGGTATAGGAGTGTTAAAGAATATATTAGATGTTAAAGTAAGATAGATCGTGTTTAAAGATAAAGAAGGAATATAAGTAGTAGTCTTATACTCCTCGTAGGTATTACCCGCACGCGTACAAAGTTATATAAATCACTTATTAGGTGCACTCTACGCTCCCCGGGTCCTATTATTACCGCGTATTCGGCGGATAACCTAGATATATGCGATTATCGTTAGTATTCGGTTACGAAGTAATAATAGTAAGGTAATTATTCCCCTACGGGAAATATATATATAATAGATATAGGGAAAGGCTTTATACTTTTAGGATCCGTAGAGCTAATCCTTAAAATATTTTAAAATATTGCCTATTTAGGAAGGAGGTTTTTAATATTAAGGATTAGCTATATTATAAACGTCTTAAGTACGATAACTCTCTCTACTAATTATACGGCAGAGATACGTAGAGAGAAAGCAAGGACACCTAGATATATATTTTAGATTAATAATTAGAAAATGCCGATCTTAGAAGGAGGAACAAGAAGCTAAATTAAAATTACATTTCTCTCGAATTACGCTCTATAAACCCTAACCGCTACTAAGATACTATTATATAGCCCGCCGGAGAAGGTAGTCTCTACTTTCTGCCTCCTCTAGTACTCTTCCGTACCCTCTTCTTAGGCTCTACCTCGGGCTTAATATAATACTCTACTATCCTAGCCGTACGCGCTAGCGCCGATATGCTTCTCGTTCTAGTCTTNGGGCTTAATATAATACTCTACTATCCTAGCCGTACGCGCTAGCGCCGATATGCTTCTCGTTCTAGTCTTACTAAGGATTATACTTAGTAGCTTCTTTACCTCCTCCTCTATCGACGAGTCTAAATGCTCGTTCTAGATGTTATAACTATATTCGGTCGCCTAATCTTAAAACTTGTAATTTCCGTAATAATTGTAGAAGTAATTACGCTAGATTATATAGTGCTGCCTCTATTAGTATATAGCATCTTTATACGGGAGAATAATAGAGGTCTCGTACCTAGAACGGGCCCTTACCCGCTAGGCACCGGATATATAGCCCGCTAGTAGTAGGGTATACGCTAGCACCTATAACGCTACCGCTACGAATCTATTAGTAAGGATGCTTAGACCTTAACTAGAAATAATTGTACTAACCGGCTCTAGATAAGCAGAGAGGTTRTATATAACTAACGATACTTAATACGCTTAGCTAGGTCCTACGTAGGATCCCTTATCGAAAACCGGTAGCTAGCCTTATCGTCTATCTCGTCTTAGAGGAGTAGGGTAAAGAGAAGGCTAGCATCTCGGAGCTATTTTGTACTAGTTAGTCTAAATGTCCTAAAGATATTATCTAGCGTTTTAACTCTTACTTTAGTTCTATAGTAGTCGACTCTACGCCTTCCTGCTTTATCGATACTAAGGTTAAGCAACTATAGCCGGAACTCTATAGTCGCTATCGTAGTAGTCGCGCTTTATACGGGGAGGAGTAGAGGAGGGAAGAGGTATTAATATAGTAAAAGGATGTTAATTACTATATTTAATGCCGTAGAATGTTAGTAAAGGTATAAGGAAAAGGAATTTAAAAGAGAGTGCTGTTTTGTAGTTACTACTATAAAGCTCTATCTAGTATATATATAATAGCACCTAATGCTACTTATACCGGTCGGAAGTAAGTAATACGTAATACACGTGCTCGCTCCCCGGTAGGTGTTATTACTTAGGAGAGAATATATAAAGTAAATAAAACGGGGACTTAGCTATTTTATAAATATCTTGTGCTTTCTCCTTACGGAGTATGCGTATAATAGTAAAAGGGAATAATAGCATACTCGAGGAATACGAGAGGCGGAATAGCGATATAGTCTTATTTTCGAAAATAAGTAAAGTAAATACAAAGTATAGAAAAAGGGACATCTACATTCTACCGAGATAAAACCCTTCTCTTTATAAATAGTAGCCGTATAATAGTACTAGAGAAAGGGTATATACTCCGATTATTAATTTAGTTCTATAAAGGAAATAGAATATCTTATAAAAGGAAAAGGGGAGAGAGAAAGAAATAATAAGCTCTAGAGCTAGCTCTAYACCTACCTCTAAAACTACTTTAGTACTATTATACTACCTAGAGGAGGAGATAGCCTCTACTATTTGCCTTTTCCCTTACTACGGCTCGCCTTCTTCGTACTTGCCTTACGGGGGAATCTTATGCCCTTATACTAAGGATCTGCCGTATTACCTACTATATTAGGGTTATTACTAGTATTCTCGCTCTATTTATACTTAAGGATGCGGTCGTTTAAGGTATTTACGGAGTATAAGTTCTTCTTACTATTCTAGATGCAATTTCTATAGGCACCCTCTATTATATGCTCCTATTTTATATATTCCTGCTATTATTAGCTTTAAACATCTTTATATAGGAGGAAGGCGGAGAAAGAGTATCTTCTAAGGGCCTCTGCCCTCTTTTCGCTCGTTCTTATTTAGGATCGGCCGGCCTTAGTAGGCGGTATATTCCTAGTTAATAATATTACCGCTACGAATCTGTTAGTAAGGATGCTCGGATCTTAATTAGAAGTAATTGTACTAACCGGCTCTAGATAATTATCGAGTCTATAGTGTTCTTACGGTCTCTAAGTATTATCTACTTCGCCGGGTCCTAGGTCTTCTTAATTTTCGGGGCGTAGCTACTCGCCGCATCGATTATCTCCGCCTATTCCTTAGTAATATAGAGGCTACTAGTCTTAAGCTAGATTATACTAGTTAGTCTCGTCTAGGCAAGGCGATTATCTTTACTTATATTATCGTCGTTAACTATAAGGCATAGATTACTATTATCGTCCGACGAGTAGTATATATCCTATAGGTCGACGTCGCCTATACCGAAGCGGCGAACTTCCTTCTCGGTTATTATACGGAGAGGTAGAATAGAGCAAAGAGGGGAGGATAGGTAGTAAGAGTACTAATTAGAGTATTAAATATAGTAGTTATTAGGAGGACTAGGGGAGACGGTAGAAGGGTAGAGGGAAGAGTCTTATAGCATATAAATATTACTCTTACGCGTATAATAAGTTACTAGTAGAAGCATGTGCATAATAGCAGCATTAAAGTAAGATATAGGTAACTAAAACCCGTTATATATTAGGACCGGTAACTAAGTAATAACGGGACGGTAATATTATACACACACAAGCAAATAACGACGTTTATTATATGTAATTGTACGGGCAATTAAATCAATAAGCGAGGTGTAAAATTACTCCACTTAGTGGCGTTAAGCTATATTAGATCGCGTTGTTGTAGGGAAGTCGCTAAAAGTCCACCGTACGACCGGCCGACTTACCGAGCGAGATCGCCATCACTGTACTTTTACTTGCAATATTTCAGACCCACACAGTCCTCTGGGGCACCACAGCGCTGGTGCGTTTGGCAGCGAATCAATTCTCGCAAACCTACATCGATGGGGCTTCCGATGCGACACATGCCTGGAGTATTGACCAAAAATGCCACTCAAACAAGGCGTCTACTCTACTCATGACAGCTTGCTCTCGCGAGACTCAACTGAATTGACTTTGCTACGTGGGGCAAGACTGTGCTACTGCAAGGACTTCCAGCAGCGTCGAAAGAGTTGATGCGGCAGCGAGAGCGGCGTTGTGACTGCCTAGTTTATCAATCTACCCGGGGCAAACCAGACTGATGACGAAACGATACTACTTGGGTTTCTCCCGCGAGTGTTTGAAATGGTTAATAATAATTCCATACAAACAGCGCTCGAAAGGCTTCCCAAGGGTCCGGGTACAATAATCCTTTGCGGGCAAACTCCGAGCGCTGACCAACACGACACGCCAACTCCAAAAGTACCTCTTCGTGTACTGTATGCACAAGTGGGGCTCGGACATCCGCAGACCGAGTTCCGGTAAGGTAGCATTTCATGCAGTGTTAGTGCTACTCCGCTAAGGACGAGTCATCCAGCCCAGATCGTATCGAGACACTAGAACGTCCGGGGCTCCTTGAGCGTGGTGTTTCCGCGACCGGGCATCATAATAAATAATGTTTAGTGCCGGCGAGACCATGTCCTCACCAGCCGTCAATGGTCAGCCCCCCGTCAGCCGCCCGCCATGTTTAGCTCAGCCTCTCACATCTCCCTCTGCTGCTCAGCTCAGCACCGTTCCTTCAGCGGAGTGGGTCGCAGTCGAATCCTCCCTTTTTCGCGTCGCCGGGACATTCTACCTCATCCTGTCTCTGTGTTTCCTGTCAAGTCTTCAGTGATAGTTACCTTACCGTTCAACTCGCCTCGACCGAAGTTGCCATCCCAGGCCGGCCGTTGAAATCCACGTGCATTGCTGCAAAGGGGCGGCGTGCTCTTCCTTCAAGAACCTTAATTGATGCAACCCTGTCCAACATCATCCGGGTGTTTGCGATCTGACGTCCCAGGTGTGTGCTCCAAGGTGTTGCTCCTGCCCTCTACCGACGCCCATTCTTGTGTGTGCTGCTGGATCCGCAACCCGCATTCACGACGCGCATACGTAGCTGCCACTGCGAATTCCAGCCGACCCCCATTCCCGCGCCCATTCCTCCGCCCAACCGCCCGACGTCCGCCAGTCATCCCCAGGTCCATGCGCACCTCCACGAGGTAGTGCTGCGAGTACCGCGCGGGCTGCCGTTCTGGCCAGCCATTCCGAGTCACGATCGCTCGCGCTGAGGAGTCACCTCCATCATGGCCGTCACCTACGATGACGAACCCGCGCCGCCCTCGACGAATGGTGCCGAGCAGAGCCAGCCTCTGAACCGCATGCGATGGGCCACAGTGCGCAAACCGGGGCGGAGAGGCACCAATAAGCGGCGTTCCATCTTCAATCGAAATGCCGCTCGTCTGAGCGGATTGGGTGGCAAGCGCGATTCTGGGGCCATGGATCCCGTGGATGTTAAGGGTGATGAAGTCGCCAACGACAAGGCTGCCGAGGGTCAGACGCACCGCACAGTCTATGTCAATCGCACCCTACCCGCTGAAGCACGCGACGAGCAGGGCAGTCCGTTGCAGACCTTCAAGCGAAACAAGATTCGGACGGCAAAGTACACGCCCATCAGTTTTGTACCGAAGAACTTGTGGTTCCAGTTGCACAACATTGCCAACGTCTATTTTATCTTCATTGTCATCCTAGGAGTAAGTGTTGCACCGACTAGGAAGCTTTCCTTGCGAGCGCTCGCTGACAATTGTTAGATATTCTCCATTTTTGGTGTTCAGAACCCTGGTCTGGCCGCAGTACCCATCATTGTCATTCTAACGATTACTGCGATCAAGGATGCGATAGAGGATTGGCGGAGAACGGTTCTGGATAACGAGCTGAACAATGCCCCCGTACATCGGTTGGTAGACTGGGATAACGTCAATGTCTCCGACGAGAAGATCAGCTTGTGGCGTCAGTTCAAAAAGGCCACTACTCGTGGAATTGTGTGGTTGTGGAGGCTATGGAAGGATCGCCAGGAACAGTACAAGATGAAGAAAGGTAAAGGGCCGGTAAATGTGGACCGCAAGGTGGATGAGGCGCTTGAGCAAGACCCTCGGCGGGCCAGCACCCTGACTGCACGCCTTGACGACGAGGACCGAGCTCATGGCTACGAAGACGACGATGTTGAGATGACTCCGGTGCCATCCCCGACCCCAGGACAGCGGCCAGGCGAATACCACGATGATCGAACGGAAAGTGCAGAGTTCCCAGACTCAGAAAGGGGCAACATGCGCTCCACGCTTGAGGTTCCAACCCAAGGACCGGATGGCAAACTCGAGAAGCTACCCATACCGAAGAAGTTCCACGGCAGTTTGATCAACCCGCACAGAGAAAGGAAAGAGAAGGCGCGTTTCAAGAGGGACTATTGGAAGAATGTGCGCGTGGGCGACTTTGTGCGCCTCTACAACGACGAGGAGGTTCCGTCAGATATCATTGTTCTATCGACCAGCGACAACGACGGAGCCTGCTATATTGAGACCAAGAACTTGGATGGAGAGACTAACCTCAAAGTACGGACGGCGCTGTACTCTGGCCGTCAAGTGAAACGAGCACGTGACTGTGAGCAGGCAGATTTCGTCCTGGAAAGCGAACCTCCACATGCAAACCTGTACGCGTATTCCGGTGCCGTAAGGTGGAATCAATATGATCCGAGGGATCCTACCGCAGAGCCCAAGGAAATGGCAGAACCTGTCGGTATCAACAATTTGCTGCTCCGTGGCTGCACCATTCGCAACACAGAATGGGTTCTCGGTGTCGTCGCATTCACAGGCGAGGACACGAWGATCATGCTGAACTCTGGTATCACTCCATCAAAGCGRCCCAAGATCATGCGCGATCTGAATTGGAACGTGCTCTACAACTTCGTCCTCCTCTTCATCATGTGTCTTGTCGCTGCGATCGTTTGTGGCGTTTCATGGGCCCGCACCGACGAATCCATCGCCTACTTCGATTATGGGTCATACGGAGACTCCCCTCCCCTCAATGGTTTCATCACTTTCTGGGCTGCTATCATCCTCTTCCAGAACTTGGTTCCGATCTCCCTCTACATTTCGCTCGAAATTGTGCGCAGTGTGCAGGCCTTTTTCATTTACTCCGACACGTACATGTACTATGAGAAGCTGGACTATCCGTGCACGCCCAAGTCATGGAACATCTCTGATGACCTGGGTCAGATCGAGTACATCTTCTCTGACAAGACTGGAACGCTGACACAAAACGTKATGGAGTACAAGAAGTGCACGATCAATGGCCATCCATACGGAGAGGCGTACACTGAAGCGCTGGCCGGTATGCAAAAGCGCATGGGCATCAACGTGGAGGAAGAGGGCGCAAAGGCCAAAGCACAGATTGCCCAGGACCGCGTGGCCATGATCGAAGGGATCCGCAAAATGCACGATAACCCCTATCTGCGAGACGATGACTTGACCTTTGTTTCTTCGCAATTCATTGCGGATCTCGCTGGCGAAAGTGGTCCGGAACAACAAAATGCAACCGAGCAATTCATGCTTGCTTTGGCGTTGTGCCACAGTGTCATCACTGAGAGGACACCAGGCGACCCACCGCGCATCGAGTTCAAGGCACAAAGTCCAGACGAGGCTGCGCTAGTAGCCACAGCGCGAGACGTGGGCTTCACTGTGATCGGGCGATCCAACGATGGCATAATCGTCAATTACCTGGGCGAAGAGCGAGAGTATACAGTGCTGAACACACTTGAGTTTAACTCGACGAGAAAGCGAATGAGTTCTATTCTCCGCATGCCGGACGGCAGGATTCTGCTCTTTTGCAAGGGTGCCGATAGTATTATCTACTCGCGATTGAAAAGGGGTGAGCAGGCCGAGCTCCGGAAGTCCACGGCAGAGCACTTGGAAATGTTCGCTCGTGAAGGCCTTCGTACGCTCTGTATCGCACAGAGAGAATTGTCCGAGGACGAGTACCAAAGATGGAACATTGATCACGAAATTGCTGCAGCTGCAGTACAAGACCGGGAGGACAAGCTGGAAGAGGTCGCTGATCGTATAGAACGTGAACTGACCTTGATAGGCGGCACTGCTATTGAGGACAAGCTCCAAGATGGCGTCCCAGACTCCATCGCGCTGCTTGCACAGGCTGGAATCAAACTGTGGGTTCTCACGGGCGATAAGGTCGAGACAGCCATCAATATCGGCTTCTCCTGCAACCTGCTTGATAATGACATGGACCTCATTGTCCTCACGGCAAACGAGGACGACCACGATGCGGCCGAAGTCGAGCTGGATAGGCAGTTGGCTGTGTTTGGAAAGACTGGTTCTGATGAGGAGCTCAAAGCTGCTCGGAAGAACCACGAGCCACCTGCACCCACGCATGCGCTTGTCATTGATGGTGACACACTAAAGGTGGTGTTGGATGATCGATTACGGCAGAAGTTCCTGTTGCTCTGCAAGGAGTGCAGATCTGTGCTTTGCTGTCGTGTCAGCCCGTCGCAAAAGGCGGCAGTCGTTGCTCTGGTCAAACACACCCTCGACGTTATGACGTTGTCCATTGGTGATGGTGCCAATGATGTTGCTATGATTCAAGAGGCTGACGTTGGAGTCGGCATCGCTGGTGAGGAAGGCCGTGCAGCTGTGATGAGTTCCGACTACGCCATCGGTCAGTTCCGATTCTTAACAAGGTTGTTACTGGTCCATGGACGTTGGGATTACAAACGAATGGGCGAGTGTGTTGCCAACTTCTTCTACAAGGTACGCCTGCTCTTTCCCCATACAACTGAAGATCGCCGAGCTGACAAACTACAGAACATCATCTGGGTATTCGCGCTGTTTTGGTATCAGGTTTTTGCCAACTTTGATTGTTCCTACGCCTTCGACTACACTTACATTCTTCTCTTCAACCTGGCCTTCACCTCACTGCCAATCATTTTCCAAGGTATCCTGGACCAAGACGTCGACGACAAGGTCTCTTTGGCAGTTCCCCAGCTCTACCGCCGTGGAATCGAGCAGAAGGAGTGGACACAGGCTAAGTTCTGGTTATACATGGGCGATGGGCTCTACCAGTCCGTCATCTGCTTCTTCTTCACCTACCTCGAGTTTTATAACGCCACCTTCACGACCGAGTCCGGCCGCAACACCAACGACTACAAGCGATTGGGTGTCTACATTGTTAACCCCATTGTCGTGGTTGTCAATGTCTACATCCTCCTCAAYACTCTTCGCTGGGATTGGTTCATGTGTCTCATCACAGCTATTTCCATCCTGCTGATATTCTTGTGGACTGGGGCCTATACTGCCTTCACCGCTGGCTTTACCTTTTATGGCGCGGCAACGGAGGTCTACGGCGCACTATCGTTCTGGAGCGTTGGTCTACTCACAGTCATAATGTGTCTTCTACCACGGTTCTTTGCGAAGGCCTTTCAGAAGATGTACTATCCCTACGATATTGATATCGTCCGTGAGCAGGTCCGACAGGGCAAGTTCGACTACCTTAAAGACGTTGACCCGACGAATGTCAGCTCCCAGCCGGAGAAGGCAGCGGAGTCTACCACAAGCTCCGAGAGTTCACACCAATCGGCTAAGAAGCAACCCAACGACTTCGAAGGACGCCCAACCCTCGATGAGGACCAGCGACCGATCTACCCACCCTCTATCGCCTATACGAACGGGACACGCAATCCACGAAGCCACAACGGCTCGGATGGGACAGAATACACTGGTCACGGCCGCGATAACAGCCTCGACAGAGCGTTCCCTCCTATATACACCAATCTGGGCAATGGCACACAAACACAGTCGCAACCGACATCTGCTGTGGTTCCCACGCCTACGATAACGCGGGATGATTGGAATCATCCGGAGCAAGGCACAATGCGTCCCAGCTTCGATCAGACGCAAAGACCTGTTCGTCCGTCATTTGACCGATTACGCAGTAGTATGGACCGTACTCGCTCAAGTTTCGAGGCCTCACGAGATTTCACATCTGCGGCGTTATTGTCCCGGGTGGAGAGCAGTCAAAGCGGAGCAGGTGGGCGAACGGGGGAATCGAGGCTCTCATCAGACCTTGAAAGGAGTAGGAAGGATAATAGATTATAGAGACGCAAACGCTGCTGATGGCTTTTCATTTATTGCTAGCGCGAGGATATTTGAGATCCTTTATATACCACTCTCTTGTTGTTTGGTTTGGGTGGGTTGGAGGCTTGCTTGCCTCTCTCTTTTACGCGTAACGGTTGGACGGACTGCTGCTGCATGAAGCTTGAAAGTTGGGTGTCTTTTTGGGGCATGTTGGCGAGCGCGGATTCTTGTATATTCTGTAAGACTTCATCAATCTCGCTATCATTTATTGATATGGACTTTCAAGATTTATGACATGTGAGATCACCGTCCACGAGGATCTCACACGATTGATTCAGTCGATGTTTGCTTTCGGGTCATGATAGATCGACAACAGTAGTTGGCACATGGGTCTGTACCATCTACAACGTACGCAGGCGATAGGGTCACAGTCTCTCACATGAAGAAGAACGGTCATTTTAGTACGAGCTAATTTCTCTGACTAACATTTGTGTTTCCGATCAGTAGTATCGCACCTTGATCACACGACATGCAGCAGCAACTTTTCGAGGAAAATTCCCCTTCCCACCAGAACAGAGCAATCGTGACATGTCTTCTCAATGATCTTGTCATTTTCTCCCCAGCAATCCGTTCAGTGCTGATCGCAAATTCCGTGGTCGCTCTCCACGCACTGCGCGCACACAGGTCGGTTGCAATGCGGGTACTGGCAAATGACGGCGCAGCTTGGGCAACAGATCCGGCCACAATATTCGCACTCCATGAGGGTCTGATACTCCTCGATGCCATTTGGGCAGCTTCCGCGAAGGAAGAAGATGTGACTGGCAGCCTTGTTCTTCAGCTCTTCCAAAGTCTGATCTCGTCCCATGGCCTGCACATTGGCACGGCCGATCTGCAAGCCGTAGTAGCAGCAGCTCTCACGACAGAATGAGCAATGTCTCACGCTTGGGTCGTCGGTGCCTGTGACAGTGGTCTCGCTGGAATTGCGCGCGTTGGTGTGGATGTCCTTGCACATCACATTCATCGAATCCCAACGATATGGGTGGTTTGGATGTGGTTTGCCATCAGAAGGAGCGTGGAGTCGGTCCAAGTCGAGGTAATTGCGGACGTGTTGGTGCGTGCCGGTGACATCGCCATCCCCGACTAGACCTGGGCTCGAGGGCACGGACTCCTTGGTAGCGGAGGCATGTCTCCATGATGTGATGACACTGTCGAAGTGACCATCGGTTGGTATTTGCTCATTGGAGGTATTTGAGAGAGGCCAGTCTCCATGTTCATTTCTCTTGCTCACGCTGCCGCTCTTTGCGAACGGATCTTTGTCACTGTTRAGCGAAGGGACGATGCTCGAGTTCTCTGGGGCATCTGTGACATCTTGCTCCAATACCCGACGCATAGCGGGATGTACTCGTAGCTTCGGAACTTGCAACCCCGCAGGCGAGTCCGGCGAAAGACCAAGGTGCGATTTTGGACTCGGAATACCCTTCCTGATGTTCAGCGGCGTTGGCGAGTCTTGGGTGCGGCGACTGAGCTGCGGCAACGTGTTCTGTAGAGTTTGCGGGCTGGTAGTAGAACTAGCCGCGAGTCTCGATAGGAGAGACACCGGTGAGTTTGGTGTTTCGAGAGATGACTGCTGTGAAGAGCCTGTGGGACCATTTTGGATGGACAGGGCACCCTGAGCGTTGCCCCCAATACCAGGTGTACCAAAAGGTGGCGGTTGTTGAATGGTTGAGCTCAAAACTCCTTCGTCTTTCCACTGCTGCTCGATCTTGGATTTCTGGCGCACCCGCTGCGCCCAGCGATCCTCGCCAGTGGCTACTGACATGGTGGATTTTTGCGATGGCGATCTGGAGATGGCGGCGGCGAGCTGCGCCATCGCAGGATCTGAGGACGTAGTGGACGTGCTCGCGCGAGATGTCTTCGTCTTCGTCTTGCTAGTAAACCTCTGGGCAAAGGTTTGGCGAGGTACTTTCGCGGTGGGTGTCACAGGCGTGGTGGCGGGTGAACGGAAAGCAGGGTGATTTGCCATGGTTGGCGTGACGGGTACCTGTACAATCTCAGTTGCATCGGGAGACCGCAGCGACAATGTTGATTTCACTGTGCGCAGGGTCGGATGTTTGGCGACTCTCTTGAAGATGTTCTGCTCTGACGACCCGAGGTGTCCTTTGTTAATGGGTGTCGGGGAGTTTTCAAACATGGAGTCCTTTCGTGGGAACGGAGGCGAAGGGAGTGGTCCATTTGACACGCCCATTCGGATCTCTGCAAGCGCGCGTTCCCTATCGAGTGTCTTGTAGAAGTCTGGACCACGCTTCGGCACGTATCGGTCTTGGATCTTTGAGTCGCGGTCGACTTTGAAGACCTTTGAACTCGCGAGAGTTGCCGATGCTGAGGCCTGGAGACGTGATCGAGCTTCAGCATCCTMGGTGGCCGTGTCGGATGATGGATGTGGGCTGGAAAGGCCATTGAGGGCAACATCGCGGGCGTCGAGATCAGGCGCATCGACGTGGATTCCAAGCCCATTGCGTGCTTCACTAGTCGTGTCAGACCGGAGCTGCAGCGAAGGCGATGACTGAGACTGAGACTCGAGTTGATTAGACCGGATAGAGTTGACCTGACACGTTGCAAAAGTACGCTCGGTGGATGCTGAGCTCTCCTGAGCTGTACTTGGCGAGGAACGCCCACTAGTAGAGGCATTGTGCCATGCCGAACGATATGGCAGAGGAGCAGATTTGGGTACTTTCTCGCCGTTCGACCTCGAGAAGGGGTTGGTAATTGCTGCAAAGAATCTCCTGCGAAGCTCTGTGAACCCAGGGTATGAGTTCCCGTTTTTGCTGGCCAAGTTGAGAGCCTCAGCAATCGCATTGCGACGAGCCTCGTCCGTCAAAAGCTCATCAGAGTTCTGCCGAGGAACCCAATAGGTGCTGGTCCGGCGAATGAACTGTTTGGCAAGTCCGAGGTTCATCTGCCAGTCTGCTTCCTGTTGAGCCCGCAGGGCTTCTTCCGTTCTCAAAATCTTCTCGTTCGCTTTAGCTGCCTCCGCTTCGCGAAGAACTCGGTCGGCTTCCTGTCCGCGCACCCACTCGACAGCTCTGGTCCATTCTCCTACATTGGGGAGATAGTTAGCATGCGCCAATCACACAAAGGATGCTCGGCTCTCGCCTGCGTCATGATTTACCTTCATCTTCCTCAATCATGTCAGGCATTGGTAGGCCGCGGGGTCTCGGTTGTGACAGGAAGCTTAAGTAACCTTCGACAGACTCTCTCGAAGTCTGAACAGAAACGGTGTCGTATTTGCAAGTCCGGGCCGGATCCACAGGAGGAGCATTCTTGCTAGGTCGTCTCTGGGCCTCCATGCCGGGCGATGGTGTCGACTGGGGTTTGCCACTCGTTATGAAGTCGTCGAACGCGAAGTCTGGATCTAGTGGTGGGTTTTGAAAAGCATGCGAGCTCGAGTCGTGCCGGACACGTGGAAATGGTGGCGCTTTCCAAGGACTCGAGGACCGCACAGAATGCGCGGGCGATGAGCCGTTAGTGTAGGTGGAGCTCTGCTGCGCGGTAGTTCCTCCAGCGTCGGTAGGGCGGCGCAAACGTGCTTGAACGCCAGGACTGTCTATACTTGGAGAACTAGGGATGATTGATGCTTGCGATGGACTGCTGGTCGGTGCTGATGGCGAGGACTCGCCTTGCGAGCGGAGGTCTGTCTTCGAGATGGCGCGGCGGATGCGACCGAGCCAGGCTGGTCTCTAATTTGTGTTCTATCAGTATGGTGTTTGTGAAGGGAGCTTGTAGCAATGTGGCCAGCTCAAAATTGGAGTTTGCAAACTGGATAGCTCGAATCTGTCAGCTGAAGTGAATGAACTGTGCGGGGTGATCCCAGACTTACCTTGCCGCTCTGGTGGCCACATTTTCATATGAGAGTCGCCTTTATTGCCAATCTTGTTGCTCACGATGAAAGCCCTCTAACTCGACGTTGCACCTTCCTTCGGACTGCTGCTCTGATATTCCCGCCTTCCAAAACTGTCTGCTGCCGTGCTCGTGTAGGGGGGTAGGAACTCGCAAACGAACGACTTACCTCTGATACCGCACTCTCGCTGTCACTGTCAGAAAGATGCATGAAACTAACACCGCTGACACACAATCCTTCTGGACCTGCGGGGTTGTTTTTCTCGGGCGAGCCTAGCGATGGAGTCTCGTTCACAGAAAAGCCGGCGGGTGGTTCATCGATATGTCTGCACTCGGTACTTCGACTCGGTAGCGGTAGTTTGCTCCCCGGGGAACTGGTGATGGGCTTGTAGGTGCCAAAGCTCGGCGCCGCGAAGGCTTTTGGAATGTCTGGAACGGCCGGTACGTCTTCCCCTATGTCGTTACGGTCTATTTAAAGGGTCAGCAAAGTTTGGAATGCGCTGGATGCGAATACATACGCCAGAGCGACGTTAGAGATTTCTTCCTTCTCAGTCTCGGTGCGCTGGATGATGCGGCGGGCTTGCTCTCCTTCGGAACATACTCGACTGGAGGGATGAAATTCATCGTKCGCCAGGTGCGGCGGACGGCCGACCGATATTGCAGCAGAGTACGAGCCGCTTAGGTCGTGTGTTGGTTGAGAAGGGTGACGGAGGGTTGAGTGGCGGGGGCTCTACAATGTCGCCGCTCCGCCATGAATTCACACTCTCGCTCACTTCGGGTTGTGCGGGAGGGCGATCTGAGATCGGCTTAAGACTTCATCGATAACTTCACCTCACAACAAGGCTGGGCGAAACCACCACTGGAAAGTGTCGGATACCATCCTAACGAGCGATCCGACCGGTCCGCGATTACATATGCGTGTCGTAGATTCTTCTGATGACCGACGAGAAATGGCACTACGCCGGTGAGGAAAGATGGAAACTGATTAGGCAAGAATGCATTGCTCTCACCTACCTAAGGGGACGCGACTCACTCAGACTATGTACTGCGACCACATCATGTCTCCAGGGTCAACTGTGACAGTGCATCGACCGACTTCTGCATGCTGCGCCTGCCATAGTCTATACCTACCGCCACCCCTGCATGGTGAAGCGGGCCTGATATGCGGTCATGCTCTCATAAAGACGTGATATCCGTCCGCAACGGAGATGCCTGGATCGTTCATTTCTTCTGCGCGTAGAGTGTCGTCCACTCTCTTGCCGTCTTGATAGCCTCAGGCTGATTCTCCTGTGACACGATTCAGTATGTGTCCTGCTCCGCTCAAGGAGGGAATGCCACAAACCTTCCACTGCTTCGCCACTGCCTCATTCAGGGGATCCTCCGGGTTGGGGGCACCCAGGAGTGCTTGTATACTGAGCAGAATCGTGCGTATCTGCAGAGCCGGCGACCAGTTGTTCTTGAGAACATCTAGACAGATGCGGCCGAGACGATCGATGTTGGGGTGATAGATGCGGGTGAGAAAGCGTATCCTAGGCGGACACATGGGGTAGTCATCGGGGAGGAAGAGTTCCAGCTGGAAGACGCCGCCTGTAAATGCCGTATCGTCAGTACATGCCACAGATAGCTGGTCGTCATGCCCTTCCCACCTTCGTAGCAGCTCCCGCCAGGCCCTTCCACTATCACATCAAAGTATCGCACATTGTCGTCGTGTGGTACAGCTGAGATTCCAGGCACCGGTTCGTTCTGGAGTCTCTCCGTCTCTTTGATGATCCGCTTGGGTAGTGGGGCAGACATGGTCGTGATCGCGATGAAGTCAAGGAGACAATTGGGTGGTGGCGAAGGGGCCCTGATCAAGAAGATTCTGTAGAAGATTCCGGCCCGGGGAGATTGAGCAAGATTGCGAGCCCTGGTGAGCTGAAGTGAAGGTGTTTCTGAAACTCGTGTGTTTGGCGTGGGGGATGATGTGACATGGCGAAAGCGGCGGCGGCGGCGGCTCGTCGCGTGACGACGATCATCCATGAATGGCACGCGCTTTCTCCAGTCAACATCATCTCAACCTCTCCACGGGAACAAAATCGATCTGGCGGAAGGCAGGCGAATGGACATTGCGACCAATTCCAGGAGTCTACGAAGTGATGGACGACTCGCCGCTTACATCGTCAACACCCGCTATGCCGCGTTTGCGGGCCATCGAGGAATCACCGTTCGGGACTTGTCCATCTCGAATGAGTGTGCATACAGCATCCGCTACGAGACGGGGAGACCACGATTCAATGCTGTCCTGGCCTTCTCTCCCACACACCTCAATCTTCTCGCGGTAGCAAACGGACCGCAAATCCTCATCTTCGACGTCGCTGCAAGGAAGACCCGGGGCACTTTGAAGGGCAATGGTCGTACTGTGAACTCCATCGCGTTTGCTACCTCTGAGCCAAACATCCTTGTGACTGGAGCTGTGGATGGCAGCTTTTGTGTCTGGTCAATTGACGAGCCATCGCGGCCTTTGCATCACATTCGCGGTCTGATTGGAGCATGCAGCAATGTTGCAATCAGCCCTTGGAACGCCGACCATTTGGCAGTCTGCCACAAGGAAAAGGTTTCCATCTGGTCGCTGCCTGCCATTCGTCCAGTGGCTGTGATGAAAGCGATTACACCGAATCTGGAGCTCTTGAGCTGGTGTCCGTCTGTGCCCAATACCGTCGCCGGTATCTCATCCAATGGCGTTGTTTCGCTTTGGGATATTCGAGATGTGCTGAGCGTCCCAAAGGCGCCAACGATTTCAGAACTGCCAGACGATGACGATGAAGACGACCATGCCATGTTCGGCGAGCCGGACGATGTTGAAAGTGCACCTTGCTCCACCCTTCAATTGAATTACCCTGTAGGACAAGTCCAATTGCTCGGCCAGCGTGGCCTCGCCATACTTCCACGTCATGGGAAGACAATTTTCTTCTATGCATATTCCCAAGAGATGAGTGAATTGACGGAACTGTGGCGACTCAGCTTAGACGCAACCATCGAGTGCTTCACGCTCCGCGATCTTGGTACATATGTGAAAGCAGTGGCTTGTTTCCGCAGCACGGTACAAGACTACAAGGTTCCTACGCCAGTTCTTGATGGAATGGGCTGGTCAGAAACGAGACCATCGCATATTCACAGCTCGCCCAAGAACGAAGCGTCCCCGCGCTCGAGAGCCTCCATGAGACCAGAACGAGTTCTTATAAATCGCATCCAGCGGAAATCCGTCGTCGCGTCTTCCCGCCCATTACCCTTGGACGTGTTTCGGCAAGAGCCATACAGCTTCAGTCCCTCAAGGACAATAGTCGCTCCTCAAAAGTCACGTTCAGATGCCTCTCCAGCACGCTCAATGAAGTCTAGCCTGGAGTTACCAGTCAATCATGAAGTGGAGGGAGGGAAGGCAACGATGCCTTTTCTGTCCCCAACGATTCCTGCCCGTCAGATCCATGATACATTACCGCCCCTTGACTTGCATCTCCCAACCACTGCCCGCGCGTCTTTCGACTCCATGGTTTCTTCCACAACATTGGACAATGACAGCGATTCCGATGACGAGACATTCGCCGGGAATATGCGCAGTAGTGGTCTCCTGCCAGGTGGCGTCAACGTTCCGCTGCCTAGGACCTGCGGTGCCTCTTTTGGGGCGAACGGTCAGCTCTGCACATTCTTCCCTTTTCGAGCTAGACCGCCCTCATTCATGGAAGAAGTCGAAGTGATGGACTCTGGACAGGTCGGCACTCGCATATCGGATGCCACGAGATTCTTCCCAACGTTTGGAAACCTGGCTGCTACACTGCGCGTTCACGACGAGTCTGACTTGGGCAGCGTCGCAGAATTAGCAGAGCTGGATACCCCACAATTTGCAATTCAGCCCGCCTCTTATGAAAGCAGGCCCTCTTGGAAGGCAAAGGTGTCGCCCATCAAAGCGAGTTCCCGGCCTCTGACGGAGGAGCGCCACGTCAACGTTACGGTGCATGAATTGGGCTCGCTTCTGCCTGGTAGCAAATCTCTGGCTGCGCTGTATCGAATGACATCACAACTCGATGAAAGCGATGCAAAGCTGTGTAATGAAAATGCGGAAGCTGCTGCTGACGAGGGACTTTTCAATGTATCTGATGCTTGGCGGGCACTGGCCATAATGTTGGAGCATGGCCCGTTGCTTGATGCCAATGCCGCAGAACACTGGTCTCACATGGTAGGCATGGGCAATCAAAGACCGGCCATGTCGCGTAATATGTCCATGATCTCTCAACGTGAAGGTGATTCCGACCCACCGCGCCAACAGCAGAGGCAGTGGAGAGGCCATCCTCTTGGGCAGGCATGGGCTGTCGATAAGATACTTGGATGGGCTGAACAGAGAGCTGATATACAAACCATGGCCTGCGCGTCTGCACTGACCAGCCGTGCAGCTGGACGCCGAGTGCCAGACTGTGAGCCACTCCATTCCGTGGTACAGCCCGAGATTCTGGCAAGCAGGCTTCTAGAAATCGATTCTACCAAGGCGCTCCACTCAATACCTACGTTCCATCGTCAATCGGCAGCTCTTGCGATGGTGGAAGAATCGCCGCTAAAACCTGCCATCTCTCGTACTTCCTCGAGAGATCCATCACAGCCCCCCACGCYATATCTCAACTCTTCAACAAGCACACCTCCGCTTTCAGTCTCGGCCACAAATCGCCAGAATGCGCGGCTTTTTGCATCGGGCTCAGCTAGTCCGGAACAACATCATCGAAGCAGCTTTGGTGCCGCGGCGAAGTACTACGCTCAGACAATCTCCGACAAGTTCTCATCCTATGGTTCCTCGCCTCCAACGAGAAAGTCGGGTACAAGTCCCGGGAACGAGCTATCTTCGAGCCTTCCGACTGCTACTGGTAGCTGGAGCAAATCCGTGTCCTTCGTATCTAACTTGTCAGCAACGAAGAACGAAGCACGGAGACTGAGCCTCGCGCAAGAAGACGACGACTCCGATAGTGACAAGACAATTGACGACGCAAGCCTACCCCGGACGCCAAAGATGCCGGTAACCGGTGTTTCTTACGTGACGAACCGGCAGGATTTATTCTTCGACGAGCTCGGTACTGGTGTGGGTGGCACCCTTTCCTCGCCACTGACGGCGGAAAGAGGAAAGCTCTGGTGCCAGTCATACTCGGAGCAGCTTCGTTCGTGGGACCTTTTGGTAGAAGCCGCTGAATTGGACAACATAAACGACCTGGACGCGGCTTCAGAGAGTGTATTTGGCGGGGCGCAACCGACCATCTCACCCGAACCAGTGATTGATAAGGTCTGCACCATTTGTGCCATATGCTACTGCACAATTCGTGGCGCTGAGCAGTTATGCCCGTCTTGCCTTCACACTACGCATCCCAGCTGTTTAGAGCAGCTCGTGGAGGACTTGAATGGTGCGCAGTTTACCTGTCCAACTGGGTGTGGATGCGACTGCTCGGAGACTTCACCTTGAGGTTATTGAAGGTGCTAGCGAGCTTGTCGATTTGATGCCGCCTTCGGGTTCCTTCAAGAAGAAAACCAGCTTAGCTGATCCTCGAAGGTTACGATCTAAGTTGCAAGGCGATTCGTGGTGATAACCTCCAGACACATTTAGGAGATGGAACTGCCTCGCACTAATTCGCAACTCGTTTCATTCTAGAATTTCGCTCATCCCTGGGTCAAGTTTCACGTCATTGACCTATTTTTGCCTTGTTTCACATCGCGTATCCGACTCTCATTTGGTATGTTGTGGGAACTGTCCCGGGGTTTTCCTTTTTAAARGCCAGCGCATGTTCATTCATGAGAAATGTGTTGTTTTATCATCAGCGAAAAAGAGCTCAAGCGTAGGCCACCAACCCGATTATTGGATTCTCCCCCAGAAACACAAATGCGAATGCGAAAATCTGCGGCGCTTCAGAGTAAGGTAAGAGTCTCAATAGCAAGAGGATGTTGGACAATAACCAACACGCCATAGCATACCGCGGCAGATGTCAGCCTACTCCAACGCAGGCACACGAATCACGCTCTGGCAAAGATTGAGCCCATTAGCGCGGAGGAGCTGTTCCTCCGTCCCGACTATCCAGACTCGAATGGAGAACTGTTCGACGACTTGGACCTCGTCCCGAAGACCAGAAAGTCCAGAATCAGCTTCAAACCGACCAGGCCCGTCAAGCGGGTCTCGAAACCACTCGCAGCAGCAGTAGCAGCAGACACCCCGCTCTTTCCGATCGAAATAGACAGCGCGGTGTCGAAGAAACTTCCCGAGGGCTATCGCATACGCTCGCTGCAAAGAAGTGACTACTCTAAAGGCTACACCAAGCTAAAGGGAATCGGCAAGATAAAACCAGAAGCTTGGGATGCACGATGCGAATACATGCGCTCGAGAAGCGACGTCTACACGATCCTTGTCATCGCCAATGACGCCGGGAGAGTGTGTTGTACAGGAACCCTGGTCCTGGAGCGCAAGCTGACATACGACATGTCTATCGTTGGGCACATTGAAGACATCATCGTGGCAGAAGGWCATCGAGGCAAGAATCTGAGTTACAGGATGCTCAGCCAGCTGGATAGGATTGCGTACGCAGCAGGGGCTACACGTACGATTGCTTGCACCCAGAGTCCGAACATCCCATTCTACGCCCAGAAGAACTTTGTAGAAACCGGTATTGAGATGACGCGATCGTTTGTGTCTGGTTCTGATGCAGAAGACGACGATGAGAGAAAGCAAGGCGAATACGAAGACGAGGACGAGGAGAGGGACCAAGACGGAGACGGAGATGAGGAGAGAGACCAAAACGAATATGAAGAGAGAAACAAGAGTCGCAGTCCAAGTTTCGATCGATTAGACGCAGAGCTAGCATCCTCCACCGTGAGACTCGGCGAGGTTAAAACGTCAACACCAAGGCCGACTTCGAGCCAGAGCCAGAGCTCTTGGAGCGTAATTTCTGGATCCGTCGACCATCACGGACTATATTGACCTTGCCATGGAAGCAACGAGGTAGCAAAGCTACCAACGTGAAAGACCAACAGAAAAGAAACGATGCGCGGGATCTTCTGCCGCTAGATCTCTTCATCGTCAACTGTGCGACTTCACCGGCGGAGAGGGTTCTAGCCGCCCGCCGAGAACATACGAATGAGAAGTCCACAGATGAGCTCCAAGACGGACCCAGGAGACCGAGCAATCYTCATGTCGAAAGCTCTGGCCGTGCGTTATCCAGCCCCTTACACGCAACAGTCGACGAGCGTGCATTTCTCAGCCCCGAGCATCATGGCGTCTTCCTTCCATATCCCACTCCGGTTTAGACATCCGTCTCCTACTATACGCACCTCCCCAAGAAACATCCGCACTTTTCCGAGGCTGTCTGCGATAATTGCCGTCCCAGCCAACATCCATACTACGCCGCAGACTTTTCGCCACACTAAGAGTATGCTCCATTGAAAACGTGTGGAGTTCATGATCTTCTTCTTGCTTTTCTTGCCGCTGCTTGGACGGCCAGTACTTCTCGCGCAGGCGTCTCTTGAGACTGTCTACTATAGCGTTGCACTCATCAATGCTCAAAGCAACTGCGATTGCGGGTATCGAGATTGCCAGTCCGATTCCAAAGATCCATTCGGATACGTAGGAAAGGGACATTTCTTGCTGTCCACTGCCGTCTGTACGGTGGGGGAATTCTTTGACGCTGTTACCAGTCAGCCATGAATGTGTAATAATAATATCTTGGTACTTCGAGGCAAAAGGGTGAATACGTACTTGATGGCGAAGAACGCAGCTACGAAAGACAGAGGCAGGAATATGACGGTTACTGTTATAATTGTAAGCATCTTATTGGCTCGGTAGTCGAGTAGGATGGTGCGCTTACCGATTGTGAATACCATAATGGTTTGTCCTTGTCGCTGCGTACCTGTGGCCTGTTCTCGAGCATATCGTGCCTCGAAAGCGTTTGCGTGCTTCTGTTTCAAATCCAGTAGATCTCTGATGGACTCATAAATCCTTCCTGCTTGGCTATCCATTCTCGACAAGTCTTTCAACGGGTTGGTAATGTTCTTTTCTTGTTCGTCGAATCCTTTGTCCACCTTACGAAGTGCCGCGTGAGATCGCTCATCTCTGTAGATGTTACGGATGGCGTCTCTCAGCTCGGGAAGAAGGTGACGTTGATGATCAAGAACCATCTTGATGATGTCAAGCTCGTCTCGAATGTCTTTGATCTCAGCCAGTAAGTCGGTTTCTGCACCAACGTCCAAGAGCTTATCAAAGAACTCAGGCTGGCGCGCCCTCGATTCGAGTCTTTGATGACTTTGTAGCCAGGACGAGGCCTGTCGACTAGCGTGGCTGAAGTCCTGGAAGAGTGTCGCCTCACCATCCATCGCAGCGCCTATCGAGGACTCAAACATGTCAAAGAACTGGTAATCATCATCGCCCTTCCGGTGTCTATCAAAGGTCCCGAAACAACGGCCAGCAATCGTCATGGTAAGCTCGTAAACATTCTGCACCGGATCTCTTGTTTTGCTGTTAATATCCTCAATTATTCCCTCCAGCACGTTGAGGGGGTCGTTTCGGGGCTGTCGCCAACGTTGTGGAAAGCTTGTAATGACTAGATCCTTTCCCAGTACCCAAATCCAGAGCTGATCCACCTACGATAATGAGCAGTGTGTTGGAATCTGGAGGCCAATGCACTTACCATGAAAACCTTTGGATCAATTCCGTCTACTTCGCTGCGATGCTTCTTCTGAAATCGATAGACCACTTGATCGCAGTCTCGTCTACGTGTTTCGATGTTGTGATAGTAATACTGATCCAAAGTTCGTCTCACATGTAAGAAGGAGCTGGATCTTGAAAGGTGTGCACGAATCAGCACTTCGTCAGCTTGGGCGTTGACACGGTGGAACAAGCGATCTGGGTCTTCTATCGCGTCTTGCATGGCTCTACGTCTAGAATCTGTCTCAAAATGTAGATATGGCCTATTTGGTGGTCAGTGGATGCATCTTTCCCAGACGTCGAGAGGGACTAACATGAACATGAACATGTTGCAGGAATTATGCACACTTTTCTGCGACGTAGATGCMGCTGCCTTGTCAATGCCCTTTCGTTGTAGATCCCGCGAGGCCTTTCGTGGTTTTGATGCTGCTACGTGCTGCTTCTTGCCAGATTTCGAAGCATTTGATTTCTCTGACAGAGCCGCAGTTGATGCTGTGTCGGTACGCTTTGGTGTGTCTTTCGCATTCCTGACCCGTGGATCCGAAGTCGCTGTTGTAGACGTGGTCTCCTGCCGGGAGATCTTTGGATCTCGTCCATTCTGTTTCAGACCATCTGCTGACTCTGCACCGGCGACAGCTGGTATGTCACTCTCAGCTTGGCGTTGCTGCTTTCGAGAGGTCGACATTCGCGTTGACGCAGCTTGAGAGGACTCCGCAAGGGCGAGCCGCGCAGGTTCTTCCACAATCACTGTTGGATGGACCATCTTCTCTGCCTTGCACCCTTCAGGATCGGCCGGCGTTCGGTGTGCTACCTGAACCATTGGCCTCATGAACCGCGAGTGGTGAAGTTGACCTCTGTGTTGATGGTTGAACGAGGTCTCTAGCGCCTTGAAGCCTTCGACATCAACCGCTCCCTCCTCGAGAAAGCGTTTCGTTAACAAAGACTCTGCCCACAACACGTTGTTTGCAGGAAGGTGGATCCATCGGAAGTTGGTAGCTTTGGTGTTCTGCGGCAGTGTGCTTATAGCGTGTTTGCTAGGATCGCGCGCGTCGCGTGCGTATAGCAACTCATAGACGGACTTTCTTTGTACCCGGTTGTCATTTTTGTAGTCGCCGAAATCGACCTGATACACGCGCGAGAATTAGCTGGTTGCAAAGAACTGAGCACATTGTACGATTGTAATTATCGAGGAATTTCACACAAGCAAGCCTTTCTGCATGGCCGAAGCGGCTGATACACATGGGAGTCTTTCCGATGACGAAGTCTTTCGCTCTCGGAAGAAGAGGATAAAACTTCTCGACAGGACGTGGACTCTGTGATCGGTGTGACTTTTGTCCGACGTCGTACTTACAATTGTTGCGGAGAACTAGTTCGATGATCAGTCAGCTGTTGTCTTCCCTGGTGGTATGGCCTATCTATGTGAGGAGAGCTGCAGCTGGATATACACACCTGTTTGGCGGCCTCTATCTCATCGTGAGACAACTCACTGGTTCGATTCCACGGAGCCAGCATTTCAGCAATAGTTTTCTTGCCATGTTGAGCAGCCAGCAGGAGTGGAGTGGTGCCGAATCGATCCTTGACGGATCTTTTCGTATGCGGCTGCCGAAGTAGACACGCTGCAGCTTCTAAATTGCCATGTTCGGCAGCTACGTGTAAAGGAGTTCGCCCGTTCAGTAGCTCACAATTGACATTCGCACCAGCGTCTAGCATGAATTGAACGAAGTCGTCTGTACCGTGCACGCAAGAGTTGTGCAGTGCAGTCCATCCACCATCCGATCTACAAGTCCCGGTCAGTTGTAAGATTGACTTGGATAGACAAACAAGCATACCTGGCATGAACATCGGCACCATTTTGCAGCAATATCTCGGCCAGGCGATGCCTATCATGAGATGCAGCAAGATGGAGTGGCGTCTTCATGCGTTTGTCCACTGCGTTTGTTCGTGCTTTGGGAGAGGCACCGCCGAATCGAGTGGTCAGTAACAACTTCATGAGATCAATGTTGTCAGTGACAGTCGCCCAGTGGAGAGCGGTCCGGCCAAGTTCATCCGTGGCATCTACATCTACGCCTGCTTGGAGCAGATGGCGGACAATGTTCAAACCAAGTTCTCCACGGGTCCTCTCATCTCGTGCTCCAGCAGCGATATTGTGTAGCACATTGCGTTGCTTGTAATCTACCTCGCCGACTTTGGCACCTTTGATAAGCAGCTCCTCAACCATGCTAATATGACCCTGGTTGGCACAAGCGTCAATTGAATCCAAGGCAGGACTCCGAAGCGAACCGAGTACTCACTTTCCAGGCAGCGGTCATCAACGCAGTCCGTCCTTTCTTATCGCGAGCCTCGAGATCAGCGTTGTATTCGATCAGGACCCGTGCCATGTCCACGTTTCCCGCTTCCGCAGCGCGTCGCAAGTTGGACAGTCTGTTTCCCGATCCCTGATTAGGGTTGGCTCCAGCAAAGAGTAGGAATTTGGCCATGTCTAAGAGGTTTCTATCGCACGCTCGAACGAGACCGATGGAAAGCAAGGATTCGCTGAACTGTCTGGTCGACAGCGCCTCTTCGATGATGATTTTTGCTTGAACGACATCGTTGGCCTCGACCGCGCGCAAAAGCTTTGGCTCGAGGCGATCAGTGTTGCTGTTCTCACTCCGCAGACTCCTGGTTCGCTTCGGCATTGGAGACGTCGTCCTTGGAATTGACACCGGGTCGGAGTGGGGTCGCGCAGTGTGTTGCGCTGTGTAGGCAAAACCGATCAGCTTGCGTGAATTCTGCTCTCTTTGTCCACGGAATCATGCCAGCGCTAAAGGTGCGACTCCGTTCGGTTTCCTTGCCAATGAAGGTGGAGGGCATTGTCGTCGAAGATCACGCATTTGCATTTCAGCCCTGGCGTTGCTGATCCCGCGTGCGACTGTGGCTGCATCTAGGCCGCCTGACTTGACAAAAACTTTGCCTGCGGGATGGACGAGTGGACCGAAAGCTGTGATGTAGTTCTATTGTCCATTGACTTCCCAAGCCGATCTGACAAGAGATGATGTGATGCAAGGACATGGGCTGCATCTTCTGGGCATCCCTACAGCATCTCGTTGCATCGGAGGTTGTTTCCATAGATCTGCAGAGTCCTCTCCCCAGGGGTAGCTCTGGCTCTAGTGCGTTGGGCAGCGGATCAATTCTCGCAAAAGCACAGCGAGAGCGGATGTTTGGCCATCAGGAACAACTTCCAACGCCAAGAGACGCTGTACAGCACCTCGAGACCGTCGGCAGCATTGAGATGATGGACTGGACAGGTATTCCATAGATGTCACTGTGAGCCACACAAGGGAAACATGGATCTGGATCTGGTTCGTGGTTGGCCCGGCTCGGCTGATCCTGCCTTCTGCGCGTCTTCCACGCAGGATCGACAAAAGGCTAATTCGAGCTGCGGCGTGAAAAAGTTGACACTCCCCTTCCATAGCTGGCACAATCGAAGAGCACACGACGACCTGCAAGACGTGACACATTCATCACTACATGCTAGGCTCCTCCGCGTGCGGACATGTCAGGCGCCCAGGGCTTCCTTCACCGCTGCGCTCGTGGATCATGGAGGCTGCTCATTCGTTGGAACATTCTTCGTTCCGGACCAGCTCCAGTCCGTCCTCAGATCGGCAGCGGGGCGCATTCCGGCGGTTGAGCAAAGCAAAGGCACGTCGCCTCGGCCGTCCCTGAAAGATATGCATGAGTATCGACTCTTCTCTTCGCGTCCCCTTCTTTTCCATCGACACCTTCACATCTCAACACCATGGGTGGCTTTCGTTCTGCTCTCACCGTGCTCGGCGGCATCTTCGCCTCATACCAAGTCTATCGGCTACTGTCATTCATCCGACTCTACTCACGACCGGGCTCGCTAAGACGATACAAGACGGACGGAAAGAACGAGGCACCTGCTTGGGCACTTGTGTGAGGCTTTCCACGCCAGTCGAGTGTCAGCATTTCGCTAACTCGGTCCCAGAACCGGTGCAACGGACGGAATCGGTCGAGGCTTTGCAGAAGAGCTGTGTGCCCAGGGCTTCAACGTAGTGATCCACGGGCGAAACGAGAAGAAGTTGGATGTTGAACGGAACAAACTGCTGGATGCCTGGCCTGGGCGTCAAGTCAGGACGTTAAGAATCGATGCGGCGACGGCCTTTGATGATGAACAGATTTTTGATGCGGCGGCAGCATCGCTCAATGACATAAACCTGAAAGTGGTCATCAACAATTGCGGCGGTGCTGGTGGAATGTTGTCCTTCTTGAAGCTGCAAGACCGGACTTCTGATGATTGTCGACGTTTCTTAGACATCAATGCGCGCTTCCCGACAGAGATGACTAGAGTGCTGCTCCCACAGCTCTTGCAGCAATCACCAGCGCTCATCATAAACATCGGGAGTGTGACATCCGACACCGGCATACCATACCTCTCTGTCTATTCGGGGTGCAAGGCATACAACAAAGCATGGTCCGAGTGTCTCTCGAACGAGATGCGCGCGGAGTCGAAGGATATTGAAGCTCTTTGCGTGAGAATCTCGACAGTTGCGACAGACAACGTTCCGAGGGAGACCTCCTTGTTCGTTCCAAATGCTAGGCAAATCGCCCAGTCCAGCTTGAATAGAGTGGGCTGTGGCAAGAGCGTGGTTTATGCCTACTGGGCACATGCATTACAGGCCGGAATGCTTGATGCCATGCCGAAGTGGCTGCTAAACCGCACGATGATTTCGGCAGCGAGGGAGGAAAAGGTCAGAGAGGAGGAATCGGTGAAGTCCGATTGAAGCGTCAGCTGGTCGCCTTCGTCCCGTTTGATAAAATGTCTGATCCGCTGGACATCTTGGAGCTTCATACCGAGATATGAATGAACGGGGCAGAAAGCATGTCAGCGATACTCCCCAGGGCCTACGGTGCGAAGGAATAGGCATGGCACATGTCGCTCTACGAGGTTCCAATGAGGCTTTCTGTGATGGTCGTTTAACTAGATTGTGCAGACTCTTTGACCAGCTTCTCCACGACACAGGATCTTTGAAGTGCGTACTGGAGGCCTGGCTACCAATTGCGGATGATGCGTCCCGTTGCGATGTTTGAGCCGGTCGAGCTCCGTTTGAGTTTGAGCTTGAGTCGAGGATTCAACATTCAATGCCGCAATCATGCACATGGCAGACGATATGGCGGGAGACTGCTCCGGAAACGCAGTGTCGAGGGGCACAATATGGGGCTGCTGCGAAGCTCCGCCACAACATGGTTCSACCTATGCCTTGGTCCCATGATGTTCCTGCCGGTCGCAATTTCAGTCGACTACTCTTAGCACACAATGACCAGTTTCATGTGGAGGGCGTCCCGATGCCCACTTAGTATGATTCTTCTCATAAGACGGACTCTCCAGACCCGGTCCTTGTTAGCCATTCGGGCAAATTCACCGCCGCTCTTTACAGGTTAGGTTAGGAGCGATAAAGATCATGTGGAGGGCGTCTCGACGACCGCGTATGGGCAATTTTACCTTGGGACACCACGTTGGACCCCTTCGACCAAAGTCCAGATCCTAAGCCGCTGTCCGTCCTTACGGCCGTATGATTCTTTGAACTCTTTGAAGTGTCACACCTCAATGTACGATTGCTTGCGATATGCTTTCGTTCATGCATCACTACCATGGAACAGCATTCTGTCGCATTACGCGGCTGCTGCTAGAGGTGGCCGAGCAGGCCCCAAACGAACTCAAAGACCTCGGTCTTGTCATTTATGTAATAAGGGTGTAGGGCGTGGACTACATGCAATGCAGCAATTAACGGACTCCGGCCATACTCCGGATGTGCTAAACAAACGGAAGAGGACGAAGACGGCTAGTACAATTCCCATATTGCCTCACATTTAAGCACTACGAAGCATGGCCGCAGCGTGTTGCGTATGCCTGCATCCTTCGCGGATGCTTGGCATTCACATTGGCGACACCGCCTCAGCCCTATGAGGTGAGTGGAAATGACTCACTCAGATCGTCTCGATTCAATGTATGTCACATATAACAAACCGGGTCGCTACAGTGGTTAGCGGATTTATATTCAGGTACCCCGGAGCACATCATCCCATCTCGTTGGAAAGCCACTCGCCTGTTCTTCTGCAAGTGCAGTTTGCCGCCTATACTACACCTAGGACGAGTTCACAGGTCACTGCAAGTTGCGAAAGCGGGAAGTTGGAAGGATCCGTTCAGCGCTAACGACTTCAATGCAGACTCGACTTAGTGCTCCTTCCTCTTGAATGCTCCCGAGCTAGTGGTCCACTTCGAATTCCTACGCAGTAACAGCACAGCAAGAACTCTGGTTGAGCATCTGAAAGCTGGAGGTCCTTCCAGATTCATACAGCGGTTTTCGGCTGATGTGCCGCATTGTTTGGAGAGACTCGGTCCCCCGTCCGCTTCGGGTTTTCTTGTAACTCTGCGTGCTTGCCTGTAGCCGGGCGCGACAATTCTTATACATCCCGTCCAACGCTCGCCTCGGCCTCGGCGTACGAGGTCCTCCTTAAACTTGCGTCAATGGCCCACGGTATCTTCACCGCCGGCTTCCCAAGACGGGCAGCTCTCCGACCTTTCTGCTACAGTAGACGAGTACCAGCTCTCCACTGATTGGCTTCAAGGATCTCACAATCTACCGCTATTCGACTTGCCTCCCGAACTGGATACCTCTTATACTGATGATGACAATGTCAACATGCAGACCTTCAACGCTGTAACGAACGAGAACTACTACAATTCGACGAGTTCGCACTACCCTTGGCACTGCGCCGCGGAAGCGTCTGCAGTGCAGATGCCCACATCTCTAGACTCCATCAATGACCAGGAGCTTTTAAGATCATGCTCCGATCACAGCCTAACGATTTCGAGTGGCCAGTCCCCTATGCTTGGTGCCGACAATTACTTTCCTAGTGTCGAGACAGCCACATCAGGTCGCAACCCACATTTTATGAATTTCAATATTACACCGGACCCGGGAAACGATTCTTCTGCTACCAAGAGAAGCGCTGGCTCTCCTTCTTCTACGGGACATTCTTCCGATGCGAAAGGTTGCAGAGTTGAGAAGCGTCAGCGCAACACCGAAGCAGCCCGTCGATATCGCCAGCGGAAGGTCGATAGGGTTGCGGAGTTGGAAGAAGCTTTGCGATTGATGACCCAGGAGCGGGACGACTACAAGTTGCGGCTCGCACTATCTGAAGCTGAAGCTGAAGTTTTGCGTGGTTTGATTGGGAGAAGGGATTGATGAATATGGCTTTTGTGAAGTTATGGTGTCTCCCTACTGAATGAATGAGCTTATCCCAACATCTTTACAGAGTCGTTTGCAAGCTGTGCTTTTTTGCAGCTTTTGCTCTTGTCATCGTTACTCAAGACCATAACGTTACAAGACACCTCCGGGACCCCACAGAAAGCTTCTTCCTTATGGTCGCAGCTACCCATTTGCTAGTATGTTCATCGGTTTTTCGTATGGTAAAGGGGCAGTGGTCGGCCATGCCACCGCTCCAATCGCAAGGTGAAGTTTATGATGGGGCGCCGAACGCGAACTCTTCTTCWCGAAGACGCAGCTCATGATCGGGCGCCTGACGCATATGGAAAAACGTCGAAGTGAGGTGTGCTTCACAGGTGGCCCTGAAAAAGCACATACATATCATACATTCACCGTGCACAGTCGCACTATGTTGACATTGTTGTTGCAACCTCCGCAAAACACAACATCTTAACCATGGGCATTTTCTCTCGTAAGGAGCATATTACGGATCCGCAAATCGCAATTCACCTGGACGAAGCCTCGACCAACAACTCTTTCCACCCAGGCTCCTCAGTATTCGGGACTATCTCGTTACGAATTCCAATACCGCGACAACTTGTCTCGGTCCAGGTTCAGCTCTTTGGAAGAACCACCACCCACAGCGTCCGAAAAGTGAGGCATCACAGTGCCACGGCGGATAACACAAGGACCATCTACATCAAATTTCATGATGAAGCACAGCTCATCAATACCGGCCAGCAAATATCGGGACCAGCTTCCCTTGGACCAGAATTTCAAGTAGACTCACAGTTCTCCCTTACATTCCCCACACAGACAGACGCATCGGTCGGCTCGATTCCATATAAGAGAGATACAGCGCGTACAGGAGCGTATGCTATCGAGAGGCATGCGCTGCCGCCTTCTTTCTCCCATTCCAATAGAGTTCCAGGGAGCGTATGTCCCAGCTTCAAGACATTGAATATCAATCGAAGTTACGTGCTCAAGTTCACGCTGGAGGCCGAAATCTGCGGGAAGGTTTTCGAGGACAAGTTTGAGAACCAGGTTGGGATCCTCTAGAATATGTTCTGCAACGATGCACATGAAAATACCGGCTGGCAGAATGGAAAATCAATGAAATGGGAGGTTTTGCTCGAACACTCATGACTTACCACGTCAACGGACACAGTGCAATGTCAGACGAGATACGTCTACATGTTCTTGCTCAATGATTACCGCAAACCGACGGGCCCACGAGTGACTTTGCTGACAGTGTACCTGCATCGAGCTTGAGCTTGGGCCGTGGTCTTCGAAAGAGCTACCAGGGATATGGCTGGAGAAGGGGGTTAGACCATGTATGAGAGCCATGAGAGACAGACACACCTCATTCTCCCACGTCCAGAAAGTCCCACTATCGCCTTTTCCCTTGCTTCTAATGACAGCAGTGCAAGCCGTCACACTCTCGGCGGGAGTCATCTGTCCTTCGACTTCCCATTCAAGGCTTACATTCTTCGCCATATCAGTGTTAACTTCCCCTGGATGCAGCGCGAGGACAATAGTATCGCTGCCTTTGCGTTGGAGTTCAGCGGCCATATGGCGAAGCGCCTGATTCAACGCGGCTTTGGACGCTGAATATGCTGCAAATCCATCCTCAAAGTCCAGGAACCTTTGTGCAGATCCAGAATCAGACGAGATGAAAACAATCTTTCCGATGGAGATGCCAGCTTTGAGAAGTCTTTGTGCACATATAATTGGACCTATCGTGTTGGTGTGCAGATGAAAGGCAAAGTCATCGTATGACCTACGTTGTAGGACGTGAGCGAGGAGGGAGTGGAGCAGATCTGTATACAGGACGGAAGGACTCACAGTTCGGTAGCTCGCTGGAAACCCACTATTAGCAACCTCACTTTACAGACATTTGATCAAGACAGTCCTCACATTTGGGTGCCTGAGCACACCGGCGTTGAGGACCACGCAGTCGATGCGATTGTGCTCTCTGCCTAGCTTGTCTGCAAAAGCAGCTATGCTTTTTTCACTCAGCATATCGCAGTCATAGACGCTGCAACGCCCGTCATGATTCGGCCACAGTGATGCTGCCGTCTCTGGCAGCGATCGGAGCGAGGCAAGCACCTGGTGACCACCGTCAAGCAGCTGTTGCACAAACATGTGACCCAAGCCGCGCGATGCTCCTATGATGGCCCAAGTCTCTCCCTGGCGGTCGGCCATTTTTGGTGATGGATGTCGTCGATGTGCAGGTTTTGCCTCGATCTGTGCCGGATGGGTCTCGGTACAATTAAGATAACGTCACTATTGTTGGGACAAGGTTTTGGGGCACATGGCAACGCCGATTTTCTCGAAGATCTTGTCGAAGCAACGATGCGGCGGCCCCGTGCCAGGTGCAATACTAGCRATGGCTGAACTGATTCAAATTGCACAGGTTGAGAGCAATATTGAAAGCAAACGGCGGTGTATGCTTCGCGAACAGGCACGGAGCACGCGCCTGCCTCACACTAGTTTCCCGATTGTCTCCGATGCAGTGGCGTCGGAAAGAACCTAATGCCCTTCCTCTGATTGGTTAGAGTCTCTCTTCAACTTTCGCTTTTTCTCACTCATCTCCCTCGGACCTGATCCTACTCTTCAACAATACCATCTTCCAACTGCAACCTTGCAACATCAACTCTTCCATCCCTTACCGGTTCACCTAATCAAACCACCAGCTTATCGACAGACAAAATGGCCAAGGGCAAGGGCGACAGCGTAGCACCAGGTATCCTTCTCTCCATTCCACAACCGGMGGCGTTCTCAGAGCGTCCTCCGCCAGGCGCATGTTCAACTGCTTGCATGGCCGCGTTCCGTCAATAGCAGTGCTATAGTCRCGGCTCAACGTCTTGCGGCGCTTGTTCACGCATTGGCCTGGCACGGCGCATAGTGCGAGGATCTCTTAACATGGACTCTGCTGATCTCTCACTCAGGTGACTCCAAGAAGGGTGCCAACCTTTTCAAGGTGAGCCATACGAGGCCCTGCGTGTTCTTCCCTCCCTGCGCGTGGCGAATACCGGGCGGCTGAGTGGCGATTGCAGTCACGATTTAGATTGGGAGTTGACTCTTTGTTATAGACACGATGCGCACAGTGCCACACCCTAGGAGAGGGTGAGGGTAACAAGATTGGACCCAACCTCCACGGTCTTTTTGGCCGCCACAGTGGTCAGGTTGAGGGCTTCTCATACACCGACGCAAACAAGCAGAAGGGTGTCTTATGGCAGGACGACACTCTGGTATGGCACATGAAGGAACACCACGGTCGCGATAGAATGCTGACTGTCGCTCTAGTTCGAGTACCTGGAGAACCCAAAGAAGTACATCCCTGGCACCAAGATGGCATTTGGCGGTCTGAAGAAGGCCAAGGACAGGAACGACCTGATCACTTACCTCAAGGAGGAGACCAAGTGAACGTAACGACAACGACGAGAGGTGGCGAGGTTATTGCCACATATTTCCGGCCTCGTCATGTACCACCACAACCTATAGACCGAACCTCGATACCTGCGCCGGTAATTTCGAAGGCATGCAATAGCGGCGTGTACAACAACTGGAGGCGACTGCTTGCTTCTGTGTTATATTCATGCGTGCATTGGGAAGGACGGGTCTACGACGAGACCCTATGTATCAAACAGCTCTACTCTTAAAAGAAACGTTTCAGAAACTTGGATGGATACCTTCAAGAGTTTACGACACCAGGTGGGTTGTTCAAAAAGCCAAGTCTATTGAATGATATAGAGCGGGAATGGGGTTTGTGGTGACGACCACCACAGAACACCATCTCAGCAAGGCGCTGCACATTTACATCGTCCCCTCAGGTCTGCAATCAGTTGCGGCTTACAGGTCTTCGATGGGCGATCACGGTAAAGGGGTTGCAGAGCAACACCGTCGAGTTGTCTCGAGCCCCTTGTTGAGGCATGAGCTCTCTGCCATCTGGAGCTTTATGCCCTGACGGCATTACTCTTGACCCGAAGCGTGGTAAGGGTGCCCGCGTTCGATGACAAGAAGTTGCGTTGAAGTACCCTGCGCTTCGCGGACGTACAGCATCTTCCCCCCCGTCGAGAGGCGTCGGTTCGGTTTGGCTCATGCGGCCTCTTCCACGAGAGATTGGCTTTTGATTTATCCCGATCACTTTCTCGACCCATACAATGGTGAAGCAGCAGTGAGCAGTCCGTACCAGCCAAATCGGAGAAGGAGCATTTGAGCGTGATGAGACGCTGTAATGGGCGTTGCAGCGTTTGAGTCAGTAAATGCGCAAAACAATCCCTCGAGTCGTACGTACGTCCATGATGTATTCGGCGAGATTTTGAGGTTCCCCGGCAAGGGGCAAGCCCCACAATCATCCTGAGCCTGCCTTGTCGGTCCCTCCCCGGAGTCCGGACACATCTTGGAATCTGGCCCAGCATCCTAGCACATTGAAGAATCCCTGCGTTTCGCGTACCCGACAACTCGGTCGGTCCAACACCACTGCAGCGAGACCAGCATGTGCGGATGACATCTTGGCAGCAGCCACGGCCGCTTCTTGCCTCGAAGTACCACGGACCGAAGGCCGGATAAATTCTCTGACTCTGTCCCCGGAACCTACAATTGTCGCAACCTGAAAAGGCACGCCCGGATTGTGGAGCTCTGTGCCAATCTACAAAAGTAATCCGACCTCGGAAGAGTAAGGTAATGCGATCTCAAGGATCGGTTTCGTTCGCTTGGAGCACTCCAGATAAGTGAGAAAACTATCGCAGAGATGCCCTTTAAAGTAGTGTCCTCGCCTCTCTGGGTGTAGTGAGGTTGCGCATACCTACATACCATGCGGCAGCACCGGCGTTCTATCCCCCACACTAGAGGTACCTAACCTCCAGATCGTCAGCACCTTCCTCTTCACGCGTTAGTGCGATCCCCTCTCCACCGGCCCCAGCCCTGTGCTTGATGAGGTCTTCTCGTCCTGTTACCCCTGCTCGAAATTGTTGGATCAACTCCGACGTGGTCTCAAGGGAGTGCATTGGACAGAGCCTGGTTGGAACAATGCTGCACTAATATGATCGCGCATCGGATATTTTACTCCAGCACCAGCTATTGACTTTCCATGCCGCCGAGCCGCATTGGCCGGAAACAGCCTGGTACCATCACAACTCAACTACAGAGTCCCGGCCGCCCAGCGGATAGGGCCCGCGTCGCCCGGAAATCAGAGGGCCATTGAGGCAGGAATGGCACTTCACCACTTCTACCTACGCCCCGACTCGCGCGGAGAGTCCCAACCCTCATCACTGCCAGTTTCGCCGCTTCTGCGAGACTTTCCATCACCGAGCACGCGGCAGCATGCGTCGGATGTGAATCAAGCGCTCTCCACCATGTCWCAAAGCCCGAGCACATCCACTTTCTCCAACGCCTCGACCCTGACGAACCACACTCCTAGCAGTCCGACCAATGTACACCCACCGCCGGCCTACGTGGCCGCCTTTGGCGCATCGCAGGTAGTCAGCGATTCGAAGCGGCACTTTAGCGACGATGAGGATGACGACGACACTACTGTGTCCAACAAGGTTGGACATGGCGACATGGAGTTCTCGCCGGCGGCACTGGTGCTGCTCAACGCGTTTCTAGACCAGTTGCTGTATAGCATACTGTCCGTGGCCAAGTCAACTACCCTCACCGCCCTGCGGCCTGCAGTCGTAGAGGTGCTCAAGGCACGCCTGGCCAGCGAGGCGRTTGCCAGCGCCGAGGAAGAGCTGCAGGAGTTGCTTGCGGGCGGCGAGGAGGAAGAGGAGGAGATGAATGACCGTCAGACTAAATCCGAGGGCCAACGGCGCTGGGATACGGAGCTGGTATGGAAGCGCACGCGACTGCGCGTCATGGTCTACATTCGCCTGGGCGAGATGGAGGATGATGATGAGGAGCGCTTCGTGCGCGAAGACGAGCTCTTTGCGGGCAACGACCGGCGCTTTTCGCAGTCAACAGGGCTAGTATCATGGGCTGCAGCCATTTTCTTAACATCGGTAGTGGAGTTTGTTGCTGAGCAGGTCTTGACCGTCAGCGGCCAGGCAGCCGCGAGCCGAGCGCGTCGTCGAAGCCGAACTCTGCGCGTCTCGCTTGCGGCCCCTCCCGCTGCCGTGCACCTCGATGGCACCACCGTGGAGGAGGGCGACATGGAAAAGGTCGCACTGAGCTCCACGCTCGGGCGACTTTGGCGCACGTGGCGCAAATCCATCCGGAACACCGCCAATGCTGGCACCAACACCGCACTAACCTCTCCCACCCTGGACAAACACCTCCTGAGCGATATCGACCACGACACCGCCGACTCGCCTTCCTTCTCGCAGGCTCATAGCCAGGACAAACTGGCCGGCGCAGGTGCAGTTGGCGCGCGGTGGAACAGTTCTGGCACCGCTCCCGACCCAATGTCCGCGGTAGAGCACCCCCGATCCATGTCTGCAATGAGTGCCATGAGCAGGGAGAAAACCGAGGGAGAAGTCCCTAGCGAGGTTGGCCAAGAGCTTCCAGAGGTCGAGTATTCCGAGCACGTTCTCGCTGCCAACATTCCTATTGCAGTTCGGGATGAGCAGCGAGATGTAGACGAAATCGAGGTTCCTGGATTGGCAAGAGATCCCGACGCTGAGCCGGTCTTGCCAGCACGAACGCAGTCGCAACGAAGACACAGCTTCTCCGGACCGATAGCTCTCACCAGAACTGCGAGTGTTGCTGTCGACAATGGCATTTCTCCGACCACCGCATCAAACCAGGACCGTGTCTCAGAAGGAGTCGTATCGGAGGTAGGCGCATCGGAAGTTGGGCCCGCAAGTGAGGACAAATCGGTAGTTGCTGCAAAAGATGTAGACGGAWCGGCATTAGAAGCACCAGCTCTGGACCAGCAGGTAGTGGAGCCCCTCGGCGAGCGTGTTGTGCCGCGACAGCGCTGTCGCTCTGAACCATCGAYGTATCGCGTTGTGGTAGAGGAGCAGGCCGTGGAGAAACTTGTCGAGAATGAGGCGGACGCACATACCGATGGCTACAGGCCCGAGCAGAAGGCTAATGCCGCGGAGATGGCAGGTCTCAAGCGCAAGGCGTCGCCTGGAAAAGCTGTTGTGGACAAACTTCCGAAGAGTGCGGCATTGGAGGCGGTGACTACGAAAGAGGACGACTTCTTTTCGCCGGAGAGCGAAATGTCTAGTAATGGGAATGCGTCGCCAGCGGGCGCGTCTGCCACTGCCCACGAAGAAAACCTGAAGGAACTTGTAGGGGGCCCGGTCGTAGTAGCTTCCGCAGCGACGGCTGCCACAGCGGCATTAGCCTCGGAGCCTCAAGGAGCTGATGGTGAGACGCTCTCTCGCGCAGAGGTCGGCCTCAACGTAGTGGAGAAGGGAGGCCCTTCTCAGGATATTGATGGCCAGAATGCGCTGCCTCTTGAAGAGCGCCCCTCTCCCGCGAGCTTTCGGGAGGAACCTCAGATTATGGAGTCGAAGCAGGTCTCGATGAGTCCTCTTTCGGCGCCACAAAAGTTGGTCAGGACGCATAACTCGACACTCAGTAAAGACAGCTTTTCTCTCGATGATGGCAGCGGAGACCCGATGCCGATGCGGCCGCTGGCAACACCGCGTCGCATTTCCTTGGACTTGGGCCAGAATGAGCCGGATAACAATGATGTTGACATCGGAGTTGCGAGGACTTCCGATACAGCCGTGTCGACACCGCGCGCCGAGCATCCACCAGAGCTCCAAGCAAGGGATAGTCTATCGAGCATGGCCGGTTCTCGACGTTCTGTTGGACGTCTCATCCTCGGAAATTCCTCTCCGGACGCTCCTTCACCTGTCTGGAGAGAGAGCCCTTCGATCGAGCGGCAAGCAAGTGGAACCACTCCAGAGGACTTCCTACACAAGCGCGCTTTATCTGTGCAGCAGACTGAGAAGACCAAGGCGCGTTCTCCCAACGAGAAGACCCGCGTGTCTATGCTCGCATCGAACCGAGCAAGCGTACCCAGCGCTTTGGTCATCGACAAGGGCGAAAAGGTTCAGCCTGAGAAGGTACCATCCCCGTGGCGCCAGTCCTTCTCGGCAGTAGTAGAGAAGAATACTGGCTGGGCGTCACCCAAGAAGAAAGCGTCTTTCACCGCAGCCGATGAGCCAGAAGTGCCCGTTCAAGAGCACCCCGTCGTCCAGAAGATCGCCACAATGAAGAGAATGGACACCAAGGTCCAAGAAGACGAAAATGCACCGTTGACAAGTGCGAACATCAAAGGGCCCGCAGACTTCGAAATGTTTGTGCAAGGCGGTGATACAGTAAAGTATACCCTTACTCCTGAGAACGTAAGGGATGATCCGGTAAGTATCCTGGGTATAGGTGCTTTCCGCATAATCGCTGACAGCCAGCAGACATTCTCAAAGCCTGCGCGGGTACTAGAGCGAACGGTATCGCCTGCGAGGAAGGAATCACCACCATTGGATGACACTCGCATGGGGCGCAGCCAGGCCGCCAAGCAAACGACATCGAGTCGAATCGTTATCGAGCCCGATGCCGATGTCGACGATGCAATGACATCTCGGTCGAGCAGGGAGACCAAACGTCGGTCGGTCAGCCGGCCTGTGGCTCGTAACGTTAGTGTCCACAGACGAAGCGGTCTCATGGCACGTGAGCCTCAGGTTGTAACGGAGTCAACCAGAGACTTTGCAGACTTCATTCGCTCCACTGGACCTGCGAAGGACCCAGAAATTCTGCCGATCGTCACGAATCGCTCGAGCGCGTCCATACATTCTGCCCGCTCTCAATCTCGCCCAGCGTCTGCTGGTGGTACCTCTGTTCGAAGCATGAACAGATCAATCAAGCAGAGCGAAAGCGTACCTCCAGTTCCAGCGGTACCGTCTGGAAAATCGCGAAACAACATGCAGCCGCGAAATGCCACGTCGGCAGCTGATGGCTCCTCTGAATTGATCGACTTCATTCGCAGCGGGCCAAATCTGGCAGACCCCCAAGAACACCGTATTTCGAGGACCGTCGCACCTTTCAGATCGACCATGGACTCTGATCAACTCGTCAATTGGGGCGAGAGGCTAGCCACCGCAGAGCTCAAGTCAAGCGCTGATGCGAGCCCCAGCGCGCGCAGCGCTTCTCGTTCCTCGTTCAAATCATCCTTCCGAACTYCTGCCAATTCAAAGTCTGCTCTGCTAAATGGCTCCAGCAATCTCAACGAGCCCTACCACCCAGCACATGGTAGTCAGCCACCGACACTCACTTTACCAAGAGGCGTACTACCAGATGCCAACGAGCCAGTCCGCAAGCGAGTGCGTAGCAAAGATCCCTACGCTATAGACATGTTTGACGACGATGATGATGACGACGACGACGACGACGACGTTCTGCTCACCGCACTACCAAAGGGTCAAACGCAGCAGGAAAGCTTGATGGAATTTCTTCGAAATTCTGGACCAACTAATCCCAACGAGTCGGCAATTCCAGGGACCTCAGCGTCCGCAGGCTCACGTGGCCAAGCACCGGCCTTTCCCCCCAGGCGTAGCAGTCAAGGTCTGAAGACATTCGGGGCAGACGCAGTAAGCATGGGTCGCAGGGGATCTGGGCCCAACAGAGACTCATCACAGTCACGCATGCAGAGCGCTCCTCGCAATGGCACGACGTCCATCGCGGTGGGCCCACTGACCAAACCACGCTCACAACTCGAGGCACGCGGGGACTCTCAAAGCGCGAATGGCACCCTTGATCTGTCGGACTACCTTCGAAGTAGTGGACCTGATGCCAATGCAGCGTCCGCTCGACAGAGCAGCAAAATCCCGCCCGCCAAGCCCGAGAAGAAGAAATCGGGACGCTTGAGCTTTTTTGCGTTCTTTTCGAGGAGTGGAAAGAGTGAACGTCCGCCAAATAAGCAATATTTGGACATGTGACGGGCCTACGTTTTTGAAATTTGCGTTGATTTACCCCCTAATTTGTTCATGACATGATGATTGGCAAAGAGCTAGGAAAGAGAGCGTCCAGGTGAATTCATCGGGCGTCAATATCCGTCGCCTTCTGGCAAAGAACTGAAGATATTTGAATCTTTCCTTTGTACGAACGGTCCGACAGAGCTGTTACTTGGTTGGAAAGAGGGTTGAAGAATTGGAGATGGATATAGATCGTTGGATGATTGTACAAGTAGTCATAGAGCTATCCCTCGGGGACTTGTGTATATTTTACAGCGCTGCGGGACTTTTCGAACAGATCTGCGGCTACCAACTATACCACTGCCTTTGAATCTGAATCGGTCGGTCAGGCAGATGTTTCCAAACGTTCTGCGTGATTGCCTTCTTGCGCTTTGCCTCTCGCTCTTCAAACTCGCGCACGCGAGTGGCTTCCTCCTTGAGCACGACGCTAAGACTCGTCCATGGGGTACGCATCATGTAGATGCGGCCACGCGCTCTATAATCAGGCAGTTTGCCGTATGGACCACGGCCCACCCAGGCTTCGTCGATGTAAATTCTGGTGCGATCGGTAACCTTGTGACGCTTTCCATCCTTGAGCTGAATGTCCACAGGTCGCTCCTTGTTTGCAGCCTTGATTGGCTCCAGTGCTCCATGCTCTGTCCCCGTGACCGAGGCCGACGCATCGTTCAAAGTCTCTGCATCCTCCGCCGCAACACTTCCCAGACCCATTCCTCGCATGACCACCGCCTCGTCTCTGGCGGCTTCAAGCTGCGCCAGAATCTCCTCGGCAACCTTCTTCTTGCTGAATCTCATCTGTATAATGGCCTCATCCAGCGGCTTTCCCGCAATCTGGCGTGCAAGCATGCCGAGTTTCTTGATCGACGTCTTCATGTTGTGGCTCTTGACCAGATGCTCGCGCTCCGTCCTCTTTATGAACTCCTCCTTGGTCAATCTGCCCCCTTTACGCACCATCTGCATGACTTTTCTCCGCTCAAATCGTTGTCGAGCGGCAGGTTTGGGGTCCAGAACGCGAGCCATGACATATGAATCGCGTGAGATGCCGCCGGTTTTGGTGTCTTCACCTTCTGCATCTTCTTCGGTCTCCCGCTCCTGCTGCTGCTGAATGCGTCGCTCATCCTCGAAGATGGAACTGGACGCAATGTCTCCCGCTTGAGGCAATTGAGGTTTGACGGTTTCTTCTGCGCTGACGGCGTCGGCATTCTTGCGCTTCCACTCATCAAGAACAGGGTTGGCGGATGATGGCTTTGCTGCATCATCRGACGCTGCTCGACGCTGCTGGAATTGGGGACGGAATCGCAGAGGAATGCTGATTGGCATCGAGGCTCGACATGACAGGCTGGCCACCAGGCGCCTCGAGGGCGCAGCGATACTCATCACGCGGACAGTGAGTGAATGAGTTGGACCTGCTGCGATATCCTCACACTGCTGTCTATACTTACTAGCCTCCGGCTCGGCCCGCTCTCGCCTTCGCTCCCGAGTCACAACTGCAACTGAGAGTCGAGCAATCTTCGCACATGAGGCCAGCAGCTGTAGAGGACATGAGCTACTTTATCCCTTTTAGCCTGTCATCACATTTATATCTGGGAAGAATTCTAGACCGTCGTTGATTGGATTGCGTTGCTGTAGCTCTATCAGTCCGCACGCTGGTCATCCGTCGGTCCAGACTCCGGACGGCAAAGCCGCCACAAGGTGTCTGCGCTCTTCATCATCGGGACGACAGAGCGCAAAGATTTGCATTTTGCATTCTTGGTTGGATACGCTGCCACACTAAGTATCAGCAACGTCTCTGTACATGCGCGCAAGCTGCCGACTCTGTGCTTGGGATCCCGAGAAGTTTTGAATGCGGCCCACCCGGAGCTGCCTGCGCGTAGCGTGAGATTTCCAATTGCTACCTAGGGAAGATGAATATCAATGCCCTGCTATCTCCAGACGCGGACGACCCTTCCACTGGAGGAAATACCGAATCGTCGGGAGCTTCGCCGCAGGAGTCGCGTGTGTCACGGCCGGGCAGCAAACGCACCCACTCTGCTTTGAGTCAGGAAATCACTCGCTCGCCCGACAGACCAGGTGAATCGCCGCTGGAAAACCAATCCGCGCAGCAACAACACCACCACTACCATCACGCGCAATCAACGCCAACCAGCTACCCAATCTCCGGATCCCAGCTGCCTTCACATGGAAATCCACAGCGACCGGTAGTTCCCCATCGTCCAATATCAAATTCATCAGTGGATGCGACGGCTGGTGAGCTCCCACAATCCCCATCAATGCCTTGCTCTCTCGCTGATGACTTATTCCCAGACCTCACACGCCCACAGCGCCAACAGAGCGTTCGAACACATTCCGGGAATAGCGTTCTCTCCGCCCGTCACTCCGAAGTGGAATCCCACTCTGGGTCACCGCATCGATCTCCACTTCACTCGCGCAACAGCGGCGGTGCTCCCCCAATTTTGCGTGGCATCTCGCGCCAGTCTCTAGCCGACCTGACCATGGCTGAGGCGCCTTCGCAGACGCCGCCACCGCGCGACTTCACCTCGGATGCCTTGTCGGACTCCGACTCCAGGACGATCAATGAGCTTCTGAATTTCCTGCGCGAGCATTCCTACGCGTATTCTCAACACGTTCAGCTCATAGGCCTTCTCCACAAGGGCTTCCTCTTGCATGTTGACCCGGCGGCAGAGGGCCTGACTGCCCAGCCATCCGCTCCGCAAAGCTATGCGCTGCTCCACGAGCTGCGTCAGGCCCGTGAGGCAATGGACACGCGATTCGCCGTTGGTGAAATCATCTGGGCTGAATGGCTGTCCGACGAGATGCTCTTGGCAAGCACGAGCGATGAACGCATTGCCGTAACGGAGCTTTGCCAAAGGGCCGTTCAGGATGAGCCTGCTTCCACTAAACTCTGGATTGCATTTGTGGACTGGGTGTCGTCCAATTATGCATCGTGCCACAACCTCGAAAACGCCATCAATGACAACTGGACTGAAGAAGATAAGGAAATTTGCAGAGATCTTTTCACCAAGGACATGATTGTTAGCATCCTTGAACAAGCTGTTGCGGCAACTCAGTGGCGAATAGATGAGAGTCACCTCTTGTGGAACCGTTACGCTCAAATAGTGCAGGAGAGTCTGCCAAGCAGTCCATCTTCTGCTGATGCACAGAAGCTGCATAGCATGTTTCTGCAGCGGCTGCAGGTTCCTCATATCGCGTGGGGCGAGACCAAACAAATTTACTGGCCAATTGTGTCAAGGTTCGAAGGAGATGCATACGAAACCGTCTTTGAGCAGGTGGATCAAGCAGCCGCACCTGCTAAACTTGCCATGGGGATTCGCGAGCAAAGCGAGTCGAAGCTCATGCGTGCAATTCAATCTAGAGACAACGATGCCGTCCATCGCGAAATGGTCAAGTACCTCAAGTCAGAAAAATTCAGGCATAACAGGAAACCGGGGGTCTTCGATTTTGACCTGCGATGCGGACTGTATGAACGCGCACTGCTGATCGAGCCCACTAATACCGAGTGGTGGCTCGACTACGTTGACTTTGTAATAACCGCACCCACATCTGTTTCGCAGTCTGTTCTTCCGCTCATTGAGCGAGCGACGCGTCACTGTCCTTGGTCTGGCGACCTTTGGGCCAGACGCATCTTACGCGCCGACGTTGAGCGGCGGCCGAGAGACGAAATCGAGTCCACGAAGCACCGCGCCACAAATGCGGGTCTGCTCGATGTTGGTGGTATGGACGAGTTGGTCAAGATGCTGCAGGAGTGGTGCAGCTACCTCCGTCGCCATGCTTTCCGCACTAGCGGCGCCGAGGATGATCTCGACACTGCTGAAATGGGAATCGGTATGGCGCTCGAAGATGTTCAACAAGCCGGCGTCAAGATTTACGGCCCAGACTTCCTCGGCGATCCTCTGTTCAGACTGGAGCAGATTCAGATCAAGTTTTACACAGAGGCTCGACGGTTCAAAGACGCTCGGAACATTTACCAACAACTCGCTACCCGTCATGGCCACTCATACGATCTCTGGCACAAGTACTACGTGTGGGAACTGTGGCTCTGGGGCTGGGACCGCGTTCAGGAAGCCAAGCGTGTGGAGACGGACGAGAACGGCCCTGACCTCGCAAGCGCTGTCTTGCAGCAAGCGCTACGGCAACGCAATTTGGATCTACCCGAGCAGATACTACAGCTCTATCTCGATCACTTCCGACAGCACGAGTCGGGCACGAGGCTTCAGGTTGCTATTGCCGAAGGAAGGGAATTTGCCAATCGACTCGCGGCTGATCGAGCAAAGGAGACGGCCAGGGTAGCTGCTGAGAAATCTCAGCAATATCCGAACGATATAGACGAAACTGAAGATACGCAGATCGCCACAGGAGAGAAGAGGAAACGGGATGAGACGAGTGCCGTCCGTGGCGAGGCCAGCAAGAAAATCAAGACGGACCCCAAAAAGCCAGGTTCAGAACAGCCTTCCGCTCATGCTCTCGACAACAGCAAGCGTGACCGCGAACACAGCACAATCTCCGTGACCAATTTGCCAGCTGATGTTACGGAGGTCGACATTAAAAAGTTCTTCCGCGACTGCGGCAATTTTGTGACCATTAAGATCCTCCCACCGAAAGACAGCGGACAGCCAGCATCCGCTACAATCGAGTTCGAAACCGCCGAAGACGTCCTCGCCGCTCAGACTCGTGATGGCAAGGAAATCAATGGTCATGTCATCAGCATCCACAGCGGAGCGGTGAATACTCTCTACGTGTGCAATTATCCTGCAGAGTATGAGGAGAACGCCATTCGAGGTCTGTTTGATAAGTATGGTGAGATTGTCAGCGTCCGGTTCCCGTCACTGAAACTCAACCTTCGTCGGCGTTTCTGTTATGTAGAGTTTTTGACTGCCGAAATGGCCAAAAACGCAGAAACTGCCATGGATGGGATGAAAATTGACGGTCTGCACACCCTGGTTGCGAAGATCTCAGATCCTAATCGCAAGCAAGCGCGTACGGGTGCTCAACAAGAAGGTCGAGAACTGTTCGTAAAGAACTTTGACAAATTCAAAGACTCGCCTGAGGAGATAAGAAAGCTCCTCGAGCAATACGGGGAGATTGAAAAGTTCAATCTCATCCGAACGATGAACAATCAGCTCCTTGGTAACGGATTCGTCGCGTATAAGACAGCGGAGGCGGCCGCGGAGGCAGTGAAGGGGCTGAATGATCTGCCACGAAACGGACGCATTCTCCACGTCTCCTATTCTACGCCCAAAGGTCGGACTGCTGCGCCGATCGATAGGGCTAGGGTGGAGGACGTCATTATCAAGCACGAGAATGGCTCTCATCGCGGATCCAACGTTTCTATGGGATCCAACACAGCCCCGGCGGGCTCCAGCGAGTCAACCAGTGGGCGAGCGGAGGACATCAAAGCTAGAAAGGTCGCCATCTTCTCGCTCCCAGACACTGTCAACGACGCCCGGATTCAAGCCGCCATGGAAAAGTTCGGACCCATCACCAAGATCCAGATCCGGCGCGACAAGGAGGGCGCCATTGTCGAATTCAACAACTTGAAGACGGCCTTTCACGTTCGTCAAGGCGTGGATGTCAGCGAGTTGGGTCCCAAAGTCACCACGGGTGACGTCGGTGATCTTCTGAAGAAGGAGAAGAAAAAGCCTGCGTTCATACCACCTGCAGCGGCCCGTGCGTCGCAGAACCGAGGCGGTCGGCGAGGTGGACTTGGATTCAAGCGGGGCGGAGGAGGCGGTCTGGGCAGTGTCCGCAATGTGAATCCACCGGTGGAAGGCTCCAGCGTCCAAGGCGAGAAGAAGAGCAATTCGGACTTTAGGACGATGCTGCTTGAGTCGAAGAAGACGGAGAGCAAGACGGAGGCTGAAGAGTAGGTAAGGTATGTAAGTAGCTCGTAGTGTACAAAATAGCATCCCACAACATTATCACGGATCTGAGGCGGCCTCTTCCAACAAATGGCTTTTCAGACTTGAGCTGCAGTTGAATGTAAGGTATCTGCGCAGAATTGATAGATGGAAAGCTCATACGTGAACGATAATACGGGTATTCCGAAGGCGCAGATCGCCAACGACGTCACCATCAGATCTTCGATTGGGATTACATGTACATATTGTGGACTTTCACCACGTCCATGTAGCTTCATCCTCCCATTGACAACACATGCTGCTGGTGAAAATGGCGGCGACACTCCCAGCACGATCGTGCTTCCAGAGCCTTCGTCTCATCGCTCGCACGTCACCAGCAACCCTCCGACGTCTCTCGACGCTGCCAAACAACGAGCACATTGTACGCTTCCATCCTCTATGCTAATGCTGCCATTGGAGTTTTCTGATACCACCGACAGTATGTACACGAACACAAACAGTCCAACGCACCGACGAAGCAGTACATCCTCTCGTATCTGTCCAAAGTCCCTCCCAACCCATCTCTTGCAATCGGCACCACGAATCAAATACCTCCCACCACGGAATCACTGAAAGAAAACTCGGAATTCGCGGAGATTGTGCATCATGTCATCCAAGAGCACGCGGTACATGACCCGGACGTCCAGGCGCAAGCACAGATGTATGCATCTCAAGCCGGCTCCTCGCTAGGCAGCGGCGGTGTCTTCTTTCCCCAACATCAGCAGCAGCAGAACAAGCGGAGAGATCGCAGCAGCAGACAGATGGGCGGTGGAGGTGGAGGATCGGGAGCTGTTGGCAGTGGTGGAGCGAGCTCGCAGGGCGGTATGGGCGGAGGCGGTCGAGGTGGATTCGTGCACGTGGCCGATCAGCGCAATCCGCCCGACTATGGCCGAGTCGCGTATCCCGAGGACATCTTCGGCAGTGTTGAGATTGATGGCGCCGGCAACTTTGTGGACGGCACGGGCAGGTACCAGCGCTCGGGGTCCTATCGTATGGTGACCAACCAAGGCATACTCGGTCTGAGCCCGTACTTGAGAACAAAGCTGGTGCAGAGACTCGAAGAACTCGATGCGCAGGCACGAATGAACGGATAGATTTGGGATTGTTCGACTATTGCATGCACATCCGCGGTCAGATAATTGAAAGCATGCTTGCCGGCGGACATGCGGTTCCCACACACCGAGTACCATGGCCAGAAGATGGGATAGTTTGCAAATTTTCAGTTTACATCCGATTGTGCCGGAAGATTTACGACCATTTGGCATTTGCACATCATCCACACTGTCGAATCTCATCCAAAGCATCCAAAATGCCGCTATACCAGAGGACCCGGCGGCCAGGGKACCCTCCTCCAGCCAGAGCTCATGCTTTGACTTCAACTGCAGCATCTGACTATGAAGGCCGTTCTGTTGCCAACGAATATTCGACTGAGCCTCGTGACTTCGTGCTGCAGAGCTTGCTGGGTAAGTGTTAGATCCATCCGCAGTCCTTCAAACTGTTACCTCAGCAATGAGACTGGAAGATCTGACCCTTTCTTCAGTAACAGAGGAATTGCTTCCCGCGATTGCTGAGCCTGAGAACGTCACGAATGGACTCCTCACCTTTCCGGAGGACCTCCACGACTTGAACGACAGGGAAGGCATCTTTCGCGTCCCAGATCCGCAAATGGACGAGAGAGCTCGTAGACGTAGACGAAGAGCAGTCAATCGACGAGCAAGGCAAGCCTTAGCATTTGCGGAGGACCGAGCTTCTGACATCCGAGGGGCACATCTTGAGCGAGCTAATGCCAGCTACGAAGGAAGTCTTGAAATTTTGATGGAGATGGATGGAGCGAATGGAAGTGCAGATATCACATCAGGGGACTGGAACGGCCTTTTGGCCACTCCCGAGCATCAATCAGAGAGGGAATGGGGCGTAGGAGAGAGCACGCAACGACTATACGACCGCAGGCCAGGATTAGTATTTGGAGTACACAACGAGCGGGACGATGACCGAGTGGACTCGGAGCCCTTTTTCTTCAATCAAGCCGCGGCAGAAGCATCCACGAGACGAGCAAACCGGATGCGACCGGGTCTCCGTCGCATTACGGAGGCCGAATGGCGATCGTTCAGTCCTCCTAGCCCGGCCCGTGATGCGGCGCCTCTAGAGGAGAGAGCTCATGCTGAAACGACCATGGCGCCCGCGGAGAATGCACAGGCTGAAACGACCACGGCGCCCGCGGAGAATGCTCAGGCTGAAAGTAACATGATGCCTGCAGATGCCTTCTATGCTGATTCCATGTGGCCGGATCGCGRGATACGAAATCGGCGCCAGAGGTGGCAGCGTCAGATGGAGGCGGATATAGCGTTCCAGCAGCAATCTCGATTGCCCAGCGCTTCTGAWCACGAGGTAAATGGTACTGGCTCGAATTCCGAGCCATCGTCTAATCCACCAGAGTAATGCTACTAATCATCTGTGCCCACGGTCGTTCCAGTTCCTGAACGAACGGCTCTGCTAGCAAGGAGCATCTCGGTAGTTGAAAAATGATAACTTTGTGGAGAGCACATTCGAGAATATCACGGGCGAAACTCGAGATGTTGTCTAACGCACATATGTAGAACTATCGCTCTGAGAATTCGCAGGATGACACCCCCTTTCTCGTATTTCCGTGAAAGTAACAGACGGTTGTGTTGGTCAGGAGGACTCTAGAAGCTTCAAGAATGATGACCACGTTGAAAGGCGACACCCTGAAAATAGGCGGAGTGCAGTACACGTGTACTGTATTCGGAAGTTGCCTGCGACTATTGGGTACCAAAGGACAATTACTGAGAGGACAGTGTGTCAAAATATTTAGGAGCTATGCAGTGTCTATTCTCAATCAATTCGTGTTGCTTTGACCAAGACAGGAATCATTCCTCCAGTAGGTAATTTGAACTCGCGATGGCCAAGCACCCTGAGATGACTCGCAATTGCCCCCGAGTGGCTGGTCAATGATAGGTAGAGGTTCCCGTCATTGGAGAAGAGATCTCCCAGGAACTTTCTCGTCCGCACGTCGTGTTCCTCGTGTGTCTCACGGTGGTCTGCTTGCCACAGCTCGTCATTCTCGGCAAATCCTGGCTCGATGCGCCATTCTGGATACGCGGCATGAATGTACGTTTTGGTACTGCGTCTGTCGCAGGTATGCTCGCCTAGCACCTCCCGCACCAACTCCTTGATGACAGGTGAGAAAGGRCGATTTTCTGGCAAATTCAATCCGCTGTAGGTCAAACTCGCAGTTTGTAAGCAGCGATACATTGGACTGACGTAGTAGCTCTGTGGGGCGGGCATGGCTCGTTTGGAGAGCTGGGATTCGATGAATGCGTGTGCCGTGAGTGCTTGTTGCTTTCCGATATCTGTTAGGTGGGCGTCTGCCCATGATACCGTGCCGTTTCCTTCTAGTTTGGACCAGTAGTCATCCCAGGCTTTGGTTCCGTAGAACGCTTCGGCTACGTTGTGATCGCCTTCGCCATGGCGGCCCATGTAGAGGAGTTTGTAGCTTGTGCCATCTGGACTACTGGTGTCGAGGTGTTGAATGTAGCGATCCAGACGTTGCCAAGCTGGTTCTTGGGCGGTGTCTGGGGTATCTGTTGGATATGTGCGTTGAATGAGACCAAAGTCTTCCGTCTGATCGTTGTTAGCAAGGTGCGTATGGGTTTTCCATATCAAGAGAGAGGTACGTAGTCAAAATTCGCCCAGTCTGTTGCTGGATCGTCTTGAAGGAAGATTCCCGGAACAGTCTCGTATGTGAATTCGTGCTGCTTCGTGCTGCCCATGTTGAGATGCTGTATGATGTTGTGCTTTGGAAGGAGATAGATTGCGAGACTTGTCAATAAAAATGCTATGCTGAGAGCAGGAACGTTAGTACTGGTACATGAATGTAGACTCGATGACCTGCTTACATTGTGGTTGAGAGTCTGGGCATCGTAGGTTTCTATACTTCAATACATTTCGCAGGCGATGATAGAAGTCGTCTGCAGAGGGAGGGGAATTTGGCGCTTTGAGATCGACATCCAAAGCGAAACAAGTGGTGGGACCACACCCCTTTTCAACGGGTCTAACCATGTGTTGATTGCCTCTTGTTCGTATGGCATCTTGACGCATCAAAGTGAGATACGATGCCTAGATGGCTGCAGCCCGGCAAATCTGTCGGTCAGCGCAGTCGACAGCAACATGCAAAAGACATTGCTGTCCATGTCCTAATTYACTCATGGTCTATATGGTATGACTGTTTAAGACGACCTAACACTTCAAGCAGTAAATTCGATTTTGCTGTTTGATCAACGTTTGACGCAAAGATCGCTGCGAATGACCCATTTCTCGCCTGCTAGAACCTCTCTGCCTTCATGGAGTAAGCAATCTTGACCATGTCTATGCAAAAGCGCCATGCCGACTTCGAGCTCTGCAACGATTGGAGCGGGTGTGGCTTCACGCTTGCTTGGCGGGTCCGGGTAGAAGACCGTCTCACCGCCTATACAGCCAGTGGCAGGCGAGGTGAGGTACAGGAGCAACGTCCATGTCGTCTTTGCCTTGACAGACTCTGGTGAGCTGGCCGATTGAAACATTATGTTGTTGGACTCATCATCTATGCAATGCTGTCAGTGATAGACTTTGTCCTCGAACGATTGATATGCTGACAATGCTGGTCGAAGAATTGAGCCGTCTTATACCGGTATATACGGATGTTGCTGTTCAGTCCCAGAACCTCGCCTCCCCACAGCTGCTGCTTTTCTTCCTCGCCGAGTGTCACTCCATCGATTGTGGTGTTTGTAACAATATCTCGAAGTGCTGTGCTATTCCAAAGCTGCTCGGCAAAGCGAGGATCGTCAACCTGGTAGCGGTCGTTGACCCGGACTGCATTGCCCTTTTTCGGCTTACCAGGAGTCGTCACCAAGGGGAGGTTTGAGAGGAACCCGACATATGACTTGCATAAAGTCGAGGTCCAAAGCTGAGGAACGACAAGAATCTGATCTTTGAGAAGTGTGTCGATATGAAGATCGGAGCTTGAAAGAAGAGGATGCAATGGCGGCCATTTCGGAGGCTGCGTGACAGATACTGGGGGGTTCGTCCCGAACTTTTTGCTAGATGATTTGACTTTGGGTGCCATGTTGAGGGGTACAGAGCATCCGCAGCAGTCCGCTCGTAAATCTCATTACCGTATACGTTACCTTATCCTGTGTCTTCCACTCGATGCACGTGGTCTTAGTCAGGCGCCCAAAGATATCAATTCGTAGGTAATAATGGTCAAGTCGTGATGGATGTTGACAGGTAACCAAAAGTAGYGAACCACGGTCAAGACCCTCGAAACGAGTGGAAAGTCCTTCAGCGGGGCTGCTCGGGCTTTTGGAAAGATCCATGCCGATCGGGGAAAGGCGCCCGCGTTAGCTTCCTGCAAAAGACAGGCATCTCCGACATCACCGACATCTTCCAACCTGCACCGCCAGCGCTGCCACCTGCCAATTGCTCTCGTTTTGGACTGAGGTGCCCATGCGCCAAATCCCCTTCCGAATTGGAAACTGCATCAGGGCCCAAACTTTGCCGTCGTCCGCCGTCGTCCGATCCCGCGCTGAGAGCAAACGAGGTCAACAATGAAGGAAGAAGCCGACGTGCACCAGGGCAAACGATGGAAAGCGAGAACGCGCCGGCACTCGCCGCGCTTGACAACGATCACCACAACTACACCTTCGAGCAGGAGCTAGGCGGCCTAACAGCCATGCCCACCATGTCTGGATTGGAAGACAATCCAATGTTGACGCAGACACCCCGTCGTCCGTCACCCGACAGCAACATGCACGCCGCTCCCTGGCYCGAAACGCCCCAGCTTGTTACCGATCACGGGGTACCGAGCAATCTACGCGACAGTCATGGGCAGCAAGAGAAAGAGCTTCCGCAGGTTCCGGCGCAACCGAACCCCGCCATAGAGGGCTCCACCGCCATTCTGGATCGCAAGCCGAGTGATGCTTTGGTTCTTAGCGATGACGGCAACGACATTCATAACGGCACCATGTCTGCCATCCTGCAAGATAGCCAAACCCAGCTCTCGCTCGGTCCAGAGGCTCCGAGCACGCCCTCTCATATGGAACCGACGACTGCCGCTGCCTCTCCAGAGCACATAACAGAAGAAGCCTTTGCCATGCTCAAATTCAATGACAGCCATTGCTATGTGCGCTCTACCAATCTTGTCATCGGCCGCGACATGAACTTTCTAGCCAAATACCAGCAGCAGAAGAAGGACGAAAAGAAGAAGCGTGCCAGAGCCTTGCAAGCACGGCGTGCCCTTGACATATACGCGCGTGAGCCAAGTCAGCCATCGCTCATGGGCGATGATGATCCTTCCGGTGAGTCTCTGGAAGGCCGACCCGAGCCAACCGGACCTCTTAGCGTTTTCAGCGTTTTCAGCGAGCAAGGTGGCCCTGTTGCATACAACAACCCCTACTCAGATGATGAGAATGAGGAGCACAGCAGGGTCAGACGTCGCGATCGCAGGAACAAGTCGTCATCGAATACTTCAGTTGCGCCCAAGAGCTTAATGGCGTTTGCTGAAGGAGAGAATCTGCAAGCTGAGAACCGCTATGCCGCCGATGGCACTCTCACAGACCCTCGCCAATGGGCACAGCTGCCGGTTCATCCCCCAATTCCTGCAGATATCAAGAAAATCTCAAGGGAACATCTCCTCTTTCATTACGATTCTGRTAGAGGGAAGTGGCTACTGGATGTGATTGGCAACGGTGCTATATTCAATGGTGTATCCTACATGAAGGACACTACAGATCTGGAGCTCAACCACAATGACGAGATCTTCATCGCGACGTTGGGAATGCGGTTCATGCTTCCCGAAAGCGTCGTCAATGAGTCCGAGCAGGAGGAGGAGGAGGAAGAGGAGGAGGAACAGACGTCCGCAACAAAATACGCTGGACACGGCTCGAGCACAAGTCCGGCTCGAAGACTGTCGGAACTCTTCAGTGCGGATGACAGCAGTGACGATGACGACGAACCACTTGCACAAGTACGGGCAAGTGCAAAGCCACCAGTTCCTAAGCTCAAGCTCAAGTTCAAGAAGCCTCTGCCCAAAGACGATCTCGCTTCGGAGCCAGAAATTGTTGGAGGGAATGGCAAGGGTAAGGGCAAAGGCAAGGCAGCAAAAAGCAAGGACAAATCTGAGAAGGCCGAAAAGTCTGAGAAGTCTGAGAAAAAGCCTGAAAAGAAGTCTGAAAAGAAGCCTTCCAAGAATGAATCAAAGGCAGCTCTCAGGGAGGAGCCGCCTCCGCAACCAACAGAGGGTTCGAATACGACTGACATTACTAGAAAGCCCAGCGATGCAGTACGGGAGGCCGGACCAAGCATCGCTACAGGCGCGAGTACCGAGCAGTCACCTCCCGTGGTTCCACATGTCATTGACCCAACCTCAGTTCTTGCCAATCTCGCGCCAGATCAGTTACCTGAAAAGCGAAAGGGTCCTGGTCGGCCTCCAAAGAATGGTCTTTTGTCCAAGAGAGATGAGTCTGGAGTCAAGAGAAAGACCAAGGAATTTGAAAGACGTGGTGTTCCCGTCCCAGCTTTGGAGACATTGATTGCGATGGTACGTCAGGAGCAAAAGGCCAAAGATGCCGCAAACAAGGCCCAGGCTCGTGGGGAGCCCGTTCCAGACATGCCAATGCCGAGCATCGAATCCTCGGACATGGCGCAGGATGGCGAGCGAGGACGCCAGCAGACTCCAAGAGAGTCTCACGCCATTGAGAGCGGCAGTCCGGGTGCTGACAGAAAGCTGTCGCCGAGACTGCCGCGACCAATCCCGAGAGAAGCATCGCCCATCAAACCAGTGACAGAATTCACTGAGGAGGAACTGAAGAAACCGAACATGACTTACATCTACATCATCGATGAGGTCCTTCAGAACGTCGAAGGTGGCAAGGCGGATCTGCAGGCTATCTACGACAAGATTATGAAGCGATGGCCGTTCTACAAGTACAAGGTCGGCTCGTTGGGCTGGCAGAGCAGTGTCAGGCACAATCTACTGTCGTGCGATCGCTTCAGGGACGCTGGTAAAAGCGGCAAGGGAAAGCTCTGGGCCATCAACCACGACCATCCGCTCGACAACAAAAAGCGGAAGCCGTCGCCTCCTCCTCGACCAATGCAAATGCCGATGCAGAATGGCCAGATGCCGATGCAGAACATGGGTCAGAATCAATTCGGACAGCCGCATTATAACGGCCAGTACCAGCAGCCTGGTAACGGCCAGCAGCCATATGCTGGCAAGCCGGGTTCAGGCCCTTACTACAGTCCATATACACAGWCCGGGAACTATCCTCCAAACGGCGCACATGGCATGAGCCAGRGCTCAAATGGTGCATATCCGGCGAACGCTTMTCAGAATCCACAGCCCCACGTACAGCAGCCTCCTGCACCTCCCAATCCTTTCCAGCCTGTCATTGATGCAATCCTGAGCTTCAGAACAGCATGGCTTGCGTCACTCTCTGAGGACTCCGAACTTAAGCCTGACGAACTCAAGGCTCACGAAGATGCATTTGCTCGTGGGACAAATTACTTTTCGACGTTGTACCACGGTTCCGGTGATGCGACAGTGACAGACGCCGAAATCAGTAGCGTTGAGCCATTCATGACGCTGAAGAGCATTTTCGAAGAACACAAATACCTCTTCGAGCAGAAGCCTGCAGAAGCAAATGGGCCTACAGGAGGAGCTCCCGGTGCAAGCTCTGGCAGCCAGCCTGTGAAACAAGAGCTCCCGGCGGAGAGTAATGGTCCAGTCTCTGGAATGCCTCCGGCGGCCAACCAGGCTCCAATGTCACATGGCGGGCCCGCTGGCACTTCGAACCATCCTTCGCCAATGCCGTTGCAAGATGCGACGCAAACCCGTCCACTTGCTGCAAATGGAAATTCCACGCAGGAGCATGACACGCAGATGACCAGCGCGGCCGATTTGACCGCTGCTGCCAATTCAATCACTGTCAGCAGTACCCAACTGACCCCCGGCACAGAAATTCCAACGCCCTCCAACGTCGCCTCCAATGGCGCGCCCGCAAGCCTGCCGWTGCCTTCAGTTGCAATGGCCAACGCTGGGCCTTCTGGCGTGTCGATGGCACCGCCTGCATCCGTCGTTGAACCATCTGTGGTCGACAGCGACCCTGCACATGCTTCTTCCACGGCAGAAGCGTCCGGCGGGCAGTCAAGTGCACTGCCACTGGTTGCGCAGGCGTCGATGAGATCTACTGATGAGAGTCAGCCAGGGGCAGGTGTTTCAGTTGTATCGCCAGCGGCTCCAATGACGGCTCAGCAAGCAGCACCAAARCCGACTGATACCCCTATAGCGGTTGAAGCGCGACTGCCTGCAACTCCCGCTACTGGGCAGACTTYAGCAACAATCGGTGAACCTTCTATGTCTTCGGGTGGTACAAAGCGCTCRGCGGACGATAGCGAGGCTGGCGTGGAAGACGGCGATTCCAAGCGACTGAAGCTATCTTGAGATAAAGAAAGCTGATATCTTGCTCGCATATGATAGTATGTATTTTGTTTGATTGACGATAGCGTTTAGCATGGCGTCCTGGGCAGTATATTGGGTGATGACGGAACCAATGGCGCATATGGCAACAAGAGGCTGGGTTATTTGCGTGTCGAACCGACGCACGCGTGGTCGGTCGCTTCATCGTTACATAGATACGCTTTACGAATCGACGAGCTTGTGATTGAAACGGGTCTCGAGGTACTGACTTCCTTCCTCTTCGTCGCGACGTAAGCAGGTACATGTACTTTGAAGGATTGGGGAGTATATCTACAGTGCCATCTCCACATACAACATTTTCACGAGCGACATAGACAATGCCAACGAATGCACGGAGATACAGGTCACCACACGCCGGATGAGAATCCCAGAGTTTAGGGAGATCAATCTCACAGTATACACCGAGTGTGAGCCTGGTACAAACCCATGCCACCGTCGCCTGGCAATACCGGACTACCCAAACCCTAACCCTAAACGTCTCAAAAAGGTATTGACATGGGACTGCAGAAAGTAGTTACGCATCGTCTTGACACCAGACAGCCTGCCTCACGAACTGATCTATATGGATGTCTCTACACCAACACCATTAAGCTCCTGAATGTTGCCATGCTGCATCTCAAGCAGCCTTTCTCAGGCTGTTGTAGTGCTCACCCAACCCAAAGCCGTGCTTGTAGTAGCCCAACCACATGGCCTTGCCAGTACCGCCGCCTTCAATCTTCTCCACGCGCCCAAAGTCCTGGAGCACATTGATGTCTATTTGGTAAGTTTTCGCCAAGGCCATGAGCTCCAACTGACCTCCCCATTCGCCTGTATCCCGCACTTTGTGCAGATAATCCGAAAGCGGTTCCTCCAAGAACGGTACAAAGTCATCCTGGTGCTGACCTATATACTCGGCAGCCTTGGATCGTACGGCTTTGTAGGCCAGTGCAGGTTTGTCGTCTGGCGAAGTGCCAATGGCAATGTCCAGCTGCTCGAGCTGGTCGGCCACGGCAGAATACAGGCAATGGCCATCGGCGCGGATTTCCTTCTCCGATAGACCATGCTGCTTCATCGCTTCTTGCATGCGGGCTCGCTCTTGCTCCTTGAGATCCGGGAGATTTTGCGCCTCTTCGGCTGCTTGTCGCGCCAGCTCTTCTTGTTCTGCTGCGCGACGAGCTAGACGGGCTTTTTGCCTGCCGGGTTTCTTCACACCAGGCGCGGAATTTTCCTCTACAGGGGGAGTAGTAGCATTGGGCAGTTGACTCTGAGTGGCTGCAGGTTGCTCGTCCTCGCCGTCAATTTTCAACGTCAAGTCCTCCAGCTGCTCGATTGGAAGCGCCTCACCGTCGACCTCCTCGCCATTCAATGCGGCGAGTTCCGAGCCCTGTCGAAGTTTGAGCTCAGCCTCGAGCCGGTCACACTCATCGTTGACGCCCTTTCGCGTCTTCTTGCTCGCGGCCTTTTTCTTCTGCGTGATGCGGCTCTGTAAATCGCGCAACTGCTTTCTGTGCAGCGCTTGGAGCTCCTCCATGCTGGTCACACGTGGTTGTTTTCAAGGACACCAAGCACTCCTCACCAACGCGCCAGCCAGGTCCAGATCCTTCTCCGCTATGCACTCAGGCTCGCTATCACCCACGTGGAAGGTATAACGTGTGCTCTACCGACGATCGCCAGCCGTTGAGAGCACACGCTTTACGAAGAAGGGTGGGGTCGAATATTCCTCAGCACAGTGCAGCTCTATCAAAGTTCCTTCGAACATGCAGCTTCACTCTAGCGCCAAATGTAACGAAGATCAAGGGTACCTTGCGCGGGCGCGGGAACTAAATCGGAACTAAAGAAACGCTAGGGACTCATCGGGACATGAGTCGTTTTTGAGATTGCTACGGCTCGGCTATCTTCCGGAGCGTTGACTATCGAAAGCCTGGATGCCCTTCTCAACGTCTCTCATCACACCGAACATTACGAAGATCAGATGTGCAAACGTCCGGCGTCATTGCGATGTCACGAGTGTACACGTCAGAGGCCGTGAGGCGAGACAGTGACATGTTGATCAGTTTGTTGAAGAACGAATGAGTTTTCTATGCAACAGTTCGTTCGCGGTCGTTATGAATAAACTGTGACTTCTATATGTCGCTGGACAAGCGCGCTCCGAAGCGAGTGTAAATGCTAAAATTATGAGACCGTTTCTTCCTGCGTCACATCTAAAACTTGAACATCATCAGCCCAGGGTTGAGCAGGATGGGAAGCATGATGTGGCCGGCGAGGACCATGCTGAGAGGGAAAATGGCGACGAAATTATCAATGCGCCAGAAGACCGGTGCGATGGTTGCGAGCAGAGCCATCATCACAGCGCAGCCAAAAACAAAAACGAATGTGCCCTTGAACTGTCTGAGCACTCGTGGAATTTCCTTGAAGAAGGTGGTGTTTTCTGCCTCTTTGCTCGTGGCACCCCATGTCATGTCTACGCTGAACAGATGCGAGAGCAGAGCTTGCGAGACATGTAAGGATACACCTCCGAGGAAGATGCAGAGAAGTGGAACCCAGCTGAAGTTCTCGATGAGACCTCCAATGAGCTGTTTCTCTCCAGTGCGGTAGCGGAGGATTGCGAGGGTAAAGTTACCGGCGCCCGAGAATACGACGATGATGGAAATGTAGATGGCGAAACTGTCCAGGTAGTACTTGTCGAGCGCTCCCGTGAACCATCCGGTGAGGAAGTAGTTGGCGAGAGTCAGAATCCAGGCAGATCCCAGGGCAAAGTATGTACCAATGTACGCCATGATGGTGAACTTGGAAGCAAGAGGCATACCAGATCCAAGGAAACGGAGGAAAAGCATCGTGAAGGGTCCACGGGTGGGCCAGTAGCGGATTGGCTGGAAGATGAGCTCGCTACAGCCGTACGCATATTTTTCCCAACGAGCCAGTTCGTCGTAGACAGTGAGGGAAACACCTTCCTGGAAACCATCACCGGTGTATGAGGCGAGACGGACAATGTAACCCGCAGTCTGAAGACGGAGAGCCATGTCGAAATCCTCAGAAACGGTTGCCTCAGACCAAAACTTCTCCCTGTCGTCGTCCTTGCAGTCGTATCCGATAGCCTGGAGGGCGGACCAGCGGAGAATGGCGTTGTGACCGACGAATGGRGCAACGTCTCCATTGGCCACGGCGAATGAGATGGCAGTGTAGATCWSGKKGGT